TTTGGAAATTAAAATAGTTAAATTGAAGCCCAGTTTTCTGTTATTTTTCTACTCAAAATTATAATCATTACCATGGAAGAGCTTTCTTGCTTTTTCCTTTTTCAAATTTTCTAAAACACGTCTTATTATTTATAATAAAAATTTAATAAAATAATATTTAAATAAATGAAGATTTTTGTAATCAAAATAAATAAAATTACCAAATTATTTTAGTTCATTTAGATTATCTTGTAATTGGGGCTTTTCGCTATTTCAGTTTTGACATATTTTTAAAAGAAAATAACAATGACAATGACATTTATTTTGTATATCAATTATTCATTTCAATGTTTTCGAAAAACTTACATTTTTCTAAATTAAAATTAAAATTCAATTAAATTAAATCAAATTCAATCACATTACAATCGAATACATTTAACAAAATTTAATAAATCAGTAATAATTTAATTATAAAAATTATTCGAGATCACACTTTCATGACATTTTTATTGTCATTATCATAACAATTATAATAATATAACAGTACAATAACTAAATACATATAACAAATTATTACATAGTTCTATTATGTTTTTTTTAACAAGAATGCTTATTTTTATTTTGTTAAAATGTTAAAAAATTTGTTAAATTTTTTTTTTTTGTTAATAAAGCTGCTCTTAAGAATAATTTTTAATTTTAATATTAATTTTTGTTTTGTTTCTTGCATCTTATTGAAAAATTATAAATAAAATCTGCTCCAATCAGTTTTATCTTTATATTAAATTATGTAAGAACCATAATATTGGAGCTTAATATAGTTATATATATAAAATGATCAAGAAAATTATATATAAATTTCTAATTAGCTCTATCCTATTAAAATATTGCTTAAAAAGTATGTATACCCATCTCTTACACTTTATAAATATAATATTAATTTAGAGAATTTTTAATTTTATATAATAATTATTTATTTTTTTTAAATAGGTTGTTATTAATTTATTTTTTATATAAGTTATAATTTAATTTTTTATTTCTTTTATTTTTTTTTAAATATTTTTAATTTTAATTTTTGTTATTAGATAATTTTTTTCTTCTATATATATATATTTTTTTTTGTTCCAGAAAACATTGTCTTTTTTTAAGGGATACCCAAATATTATGATGGATGAACATTACATAAGTGTGATATGTTCCTGCTTTAAAATAAATTTAAAATTTAATAAAATTTTAAAAAAATATATAATATAAATATTATATATTAATAAGAATATTATATTATATACTCTGACAAATATTAAATTTAAGTCAAAATATTATAATAAAAAATTCAACAATATGTTAAAATGTATATGTTATATAATGTAAATGTTATAGAAAAAGAAAAAAATTTAAAAGAGAAAACTATATTTATGTATTACAAAAAAAAGAAAAAGATATATTAATTAAACCCTTTGTAATTTTATCCTTGCAAAATTTATGTACATTTTTATGTGTGAAAGAACTACTGCACATTTCTTTCAAATTAAAATTTAATTGTAAATCAGATCTGTTGAAATTGAATCTGTAAAATAATTTAAAATATTAGCAACATTTATAATATTTTTTATTGTATTTTATTGATATTCCAAATTATTTGAAGAAAAAATTGATTTTATACTTAATATTTTATTTTATACTTTTTTTTTAAAATATATTCACTCATATTCTCCTTATTGCATCACTTGAGGTAATGAGATATATTATTGAAAAGTATTTTAGTTTTCAGTAAAGAATTTCAAAATTCGAAGTTCATGTTATTCTGAAAAAATAAGAATTTTTGAATTATTTCATCAAGTGAATTGAATATGGGTGAATAATTAAACAATAATTTAAATCAAATGTATGTACATGTAATTCAAGTGTAGAAAAAATTTAAATATTTTATCCACATATTATTATAGATTTTTTTTAAAAATTAATTTTTAATCAATAAGAAAACTAAAATAAGTTTTTTTTGCCAAAAAATTTTAATTCAAACCCATGATACTAAAATCATTTCAATAAATATTATTTTTGTTTAAAATTAAATTTTTAGGGTTATTATGATTCGCGAAGCGAATAAATACTCGGAAACAAATGACTTGAATATTCAACGAAAATTATATTTTGGTTCACGAGCAAATAAATTCACTAGAGAAATTAAACGTTGCTATCGAGATTCCAAAACAATAACATTTGTATTCGAATAAAAATTCATATATTATTATAGAAGCGCTACTTAAATATAAAATTTTTAAATAATAGCCATTTATATTAAATATTTAAAAATTATAAATTATTTTACTACAAAATTTTATTATTTTTTAAATATTTATTTTACTACAATGAGATTCAATACATAACATTCGCTTCCGGAATCATAACAATCCTATTCTATCACTTAAATTTTAAAGATTTATCGCATTCTTATATTAAAATTAATAATTATGTAATAGTACTGTATATATAATTTATGTTATTTTGGGTTAATTTTAAAAATTTATAATTTAGTGTAATTATATGATGAATTACATTAATGAAATATGTGCATTTATAATATTTAAATATTGATTTTAAATTACAAGATTTTATTTAAAAATAAACCATAAAAATATTTTATAGTTTACTCTACACTTTTGGTTTCATGAATTATTTCTGTCTATTTAAACTACATGAAATCATTAAAAACACAATACATACATATATTTTAATGCAAATTATGAATATTTTTTTCTTGAATTGTAATCATTATAATTGAATTAATCAATTTTAATTAATTATATTATTACATTGAATGTTGTTTCTATTTACAAAAGAAAAAGAAAGGAAAATTCCTGTAATATAAAAGAATGATTCAAAAACTAATATTTTCAAAATTAAATGTTGTAACATTCTTGTGTAATTTATATTCTTAAAATATTATTGAAAATTGAAATTTAAATTGAAAAAATTGTTAAATTATAATTATATATATATATAGGTAAATAATTATATTGAGTAAAATTTGTCCATGAATATTGAACATTACTATAATCTAAAATTTATTTTAAATTTCAATAAATTACATCAACTTTCAATATTATTGGATGTGTTTACCAAAATGAAGATCTAACGTCTAATTGTAACTTATTCAGTATAATTAAAATTTTATTACTAAGTAAGTCAAAATAATGTTTGATCTGGAATTTTTGTAAATTTCCTATTACTTATACTAAAAGAATTTGTATAGTATATATTTAAAAAAAAAAAAACAAAAACAATATTTTAAAAAAAAAACAATTTTTTCTTATAAAATTTCTAATACCTTTAAAGCAGAAAAATAAAAATCTATTTATAAATAATAATTATTTGTTTTTATATAAATAATTATATATACAAAATTATTATATACATATATTAATTTATTGTAATGTTTATTAAATGTTTCCCAAAAACAATAACAAAATTATGTAAGTAAATTATATTGTAAATTAAAATTTTTAAATTGAAAATTTCCGAAATGAAAAAGGAAGTAAAAAACATGATTGTACATTGTACGTTTTCGAAATGAAATAATATTTTATTTTTCAATTTTAAAATTTATATACATATATATAAAAAAAAAAATTCCATATTAAAGGGTAATATACATATCCTTTTAAATGAAAATTAACAAAAAAAAAAAATGAAATGAAATGTATGTAAAAAAAAAATAAAAATTTAGAAATAATATGTTATTTTCAAAGATACCGTTAGTTTTAATTTAAAAAAAATTTTAATAATAAATTTTAATTTTTTTTTTAAAACCCACTTTAGTTAACAAAACCATAATTTGGATAGAAGCTTCAAATATGATATTATTAGAAATTAAAATTTAAATGCGGACAGACTAAAGATTAATTGGATTCCGAAGATATTCCGAAGATAAAATTTGACACGAAGGCTTGTTATTTAAACTTAAAAGATTGATACCTTTAGAACTTGTAGTGTTGGTTGAATCATATTTAATATAATTTGGATAGAAGCTTCAAATATGATATTATTAGAAATTAAAATTTAAATGCGGACAAACTAAAAATTAATTGGATTCCGAAGATATTCCGAAGATAAAATTTGACACGAAGGCTTGTTATTTAAACTTAAAAGATTGATACCTTTAGAACTTGTAGTGTTGGTTGAATCATATTTAACTGAATTTTTTTTTAGAATTAAACAGAATAAGGAGTACTCCACGCTTAGAGAAATGTGCCTTAGAGCGGATGTGCCTCAAGGCAGTATTGTATTATATATCCTATATCATACGTACTTTATACAAGTGATTTGTAAGATGTGAATTTAAACAAGAAAAAAAAATTAATGTGGATCCGCCACAATTTTATTTGAATTGTGCTGGAGTATCAAATCAAAATACAGCAATGTATCTAGAAAGCACTTTAAATGTCAAGTTTAAATGGAAAATAAAAGAAGAATTAGAAAACAAATATAGATCGCAGAACCTTCCTAATGTCTGATAGTTAGGTCCGACGAAGATATTTGGTTACTTATCAAACAAATAATATTTAAATAAATATTAAGCAGGTGATATTCTAAAATGTTTATCATATTAAAAAATCAAGTTTACAGTTATCCATTTTGAAGTTATTCAAGTGTTTTGAATCACATTGTTTATTTTTTTTTTGTAAACAATATTTTTTATTTATACAATTGAAACTAAAATGGAATTGTTAATTGAATTGCATAATTTAGTTTAATGCAACTATATTTTATATATTTGCATTTTATTAAAATATATGTAATTTTATGGAAAATTTTATTTTCAAACTCATATATGTACCCATCTTAACTGTAATCGTATCAAAATAAATCTAAAATTAATTTTTCAAAAATGCAAAATATTTTACCAATTGATCTCTAATGCTATTAATAAAATAACCCTCTTAACATGACGTCATTTAAAATATTGTGATTCATTTACTAATTCAAATTTGCAATTGTATTATTAGAAAGCTTTACGAATTTTTAATATATAAAGAGATAATTTAAATGTAGAGAACCAATTGCAATTTGATTTCAAAACATTGATAACAAAAATAATATTGAGATGCTATTTTTGATAGCTGTTATAGCAAACCTTTTAATTTTAACTGCGGGTTATCACAATACACATTTTGTTGATAATCGTACAGCAATCGTTCATTTATTTGAATGGAAATGGGAAGATATTGCAAAAGAATGTGAAAATTACCTGGGACCAAATGGATTCGGTGGAGTTCAGGTATATTTATATATATTGGTATATATATACGAATGCAAACTAAATATTAATGTTAATTTAATTTTTAGCTTTCTCCTGTAAATGAAAACGCTGTAATGAATAATCGACCATGGTATGAACGTTATCAACCAATTTCATATAAATTGATTACAAGATCAGGAAATCGTGAAGAATTGCAAGATATGATTCGGAGATGTAATGCAGTTGGTGTTAGAATTTATGTTGATGCTGTTATCAATCATATGGCAGCATATGATCCAACTAAAATTAAAGTTTTTGGTACAGCTAACTCTGAATCGAATCCAGGTGATAGATATTTTCCTGCTGTACCATATACTCCAGATGATTTTCATCCAATTTGTTCTATACAAAATTATCAAGATCCAGTACAAGTACGTAATTGTGAATTAGCTGGTCTTAGAGATTTAAATCACACAAAAGAGAATGTACGAAATAAAATTGTTGAATTCTTCAATGAATTGATTGATCTTGGTGTAGCTGGTTTTAGAATAGATGCTGCCAAACATATGTGGCCAGAAGATTTAGAAGTTATTTATAAAAGAGTAAAAAATTTGAATACTAATTTTGGTTTCCCACAAAATGCCAGACCATTAATCTATCAAGAAGTTATCGATTTAGGTGGTGAAAATATCAAAAAGTAAAATTAAGAAAATTAATCGATTGAATTTTTATATAAGATTGTTAATTTTGTAGATATGATTACAAACATATGGGACGTGTTACAGAATTCAAATTTTCTGCCGAAATTGGAAATCTTTTCAGAGGTAACAATAAATTGAAATGGACAAAAAATTGGGGTCCCGAATGGGATTTCTTGCAAACTGATGATTCAATCGTATTTGTTGATAATCATGATAATCAAAGAGGACATGGAGCTGGTGGATCATCAATTTTAACTTACAAAAATGATCAACTTTATAAATTAGCTTCAGCTTTCATGCTTGCTCATCCATATGGTTGGACAAGAGTTATGAGTTCTTTCCATTTCTCTGACCCTAGTCAAGGTAATTAATTTTTTTTTTACCATACATAAGTATGTTCCTATTTAAAAGCAAAAATGAAACAATATCTAAAATTTAATTATTGAATATAGGTCCGCCACAAGATAAACAAGGAAATATTATCTCACCTTCATTTGATTCTAATGGTCTTTGCACTATAGAATCTGGTTGGGTATGTGAACATCGTTGGAAAGAAATTCAACAACTTGTTAAATTTAGAAATTTGGTTGGAAATGCTCCTTTAACTAATTGGTGGGATAATGGTAATAATGCTATTGCATTCAGTAGAGAAGGCAAAGGATTTATTGTCATCAATAATGAATCAAATCAAATTAGCGCAAATTTACAAACATCTTTACCAGCTGGAAAATATTGTAATTTATATGAAGGGGGATTGGTCCAAAATAAATGTGCTGGAAGAGTAATTGAAGTTGATGGAAGTGGCAAGGCAAATATTGTTTTAGATTCTAAAAAAGCTATTGTATTGCTATATACAGATAAAATTTAAATATTATTATTTGAATGTTCAACAATAAAACTTGTAAGTTTGAATATGTAATTATTATTTTGAATTTTATTAAGGAAAATTTTCATCATTTTGAAATGTAACAATAAAATTTCTTCTTAGTAACTTTTAGAAACTGTAGTAAAATAAACATTAATAGAGCTGCAGCTAAATATTTACTAATTCTATTAAATAATTTTTATGTATGAATTAAAAAAGTATTTAAATGGTTATTAAACTTGTATTAAGACCTATAAGATAGTATCTGTAGTGCCATTTTATAGGATATTTTCTAAATAATTTTATTTAGGTTTGATAGCTCTTTTGTTTTAAATAATATCAGTCTAGTGTATGAACTATTCTAGAATTCCTGTAAAATAGAGTGTTCTGGTTTCTAATCGTTTTGCAAAAGAAAACTCAAAAAAGAATTCAAAATTATTATTGCATATGTTTAGGCGAACAATTATTTTATGATACAATCGCATGTAAAACAACTGAATATTACCTGAGCATAGTAATTTTTGAAAATAGTACAGTTTATTATCAAATTTGTTATCCTTTTATTAGCAATCATTTATTAAGAGTTTGACATAATTGAGAGTACCACAACTAAATAAATTAATGATTCCAATGTTTGATAACTTATCTGTTAGATGATAAGAGTGATAATTATATAAAATTTATTAAATTATTATGTAAATGGAGGTGAGCAGCTTATTTTAATTAATTTTTCCTACATAATTAAAAATCAATAAAAAATAATGATTTTGATTATTTAACTATAACATTAAATCAATATTGTAATCTACTGTAATTAACTCAAAAATGACGACTATTAACATATAGTTAATTAAAAATTTCAAGTCGCAAGTAGGAGTGAGGAAAACATTTTCAAATAGAATAAATTTCGTAATTTTCTTTTAAAATGTTTATGAATACAATATTGCAACAATATTATTACAATATTGCATTATTATGAACACAATTTATTCTAAAGGTCAAGAACTTACAAAATATAAAAAGCTTTCTTTTTGATTTTCTATAAAAGGCAATGATTATGGTGTGCAGTTGAACAAACTACAATCCGATTTCAATTAAGTGATAACATAAAGACACCGTCTAAAATGCTAATTTTAACAATCTTATTAGCAAATTTTTTCATTTTTACAGCAGGTTATCATGATCCACATTTTCTTGATAATCGAACAACAATTGTCCATTTATTTGAATGGAAATGGAGGGATATTGCTCGTGAATGTGAAAATTATTTAGGACCAAAAGGATTTGGTGGTGTTCAAGTATGTTAAAGTATAAAGTTCTAAAGAAATAAATCAACAATATATTTTAATTTAATTATAGCTTTCTCCAGTTAATGAAAACGTTATAATTAAAAATCGACCATGGTATGAACGTTATCAACCAATTTCATATAAATTGATTACAAGATCAGGTAATCGTGAAGATTTACAAAATATGATTCAGAGATGTAATGCAGCTGGTGTAAGAATATATGTTGATGCTGTTATAAATCATATGGCAGCATATAATGAAGAAAATATGGAAGTTTTTGGTACTGCTAATTCTAGTGCAAATCCAAAAGAAAAAAGTTATCCAGCTGTACCATATACAGCAGATGATTTCAATCCAGTTTGTTCTATAAAAAATTATCAAGATCCAGTACAAGTACGTAATTGTGAATTAGTTGGTTTACGAGACTTAAATCAAAGTAAACAACATGTTCGTGAAAAAATTGTCGGATTCTTTAATGATTTAGTAGATACGGGTGTAGCTGGTTTTAGAATTGATGCTGCTAAACATATGTGGCCAAAAGATTTAAAACAAATTTATGAAAACATAAAAAATTTGAATACTGAATTTTTTCCACGAAATTCCAGACCATTTATCTATCAGGAAGTAATTGATTTGGGTGATGAAAATATTAAGAAGTATATAATAGCAATTATAAGAAAATTTATTAAATGGAAAAATAAAAATGTTTTTTTTTTGTGTTTAGCTTTGATTATACGGATATGGGTCGTGTTACAGAATTTAAGCATTCTATTGAAATTGGAAATTTATTCAGAGGAAATCTAACATTAAATATGGCAAAAAATTGGGGTCCTAAATTTGATTTTCTTCAATCAGAAGATGCACTTGTATTTGTTGATAATCATGATATTCAAAGAGGACATGGTGCTGGTGGTGAATCAATTTTAACATATAAAAATGATAAACTATATAAATTGGCCTCAACATTTATGCTAACACATCCATATGGTTTAACACGTATTATGAGCTCATTTTACTTTTCTGATCCAAGTCAAGGTAATTTAATTATAGATGTAATTGATTTATATAAATTTATATTATATAATATGCTAATTATAAAGGTCCACCAAGTGATAATCAGGAAAACATTATTTCACCGACATTTGATTCTGATGGTCTATGTACTAAGACATCTGGTTGGGTGTGTGAACATCGTTGGAAAGAAATTGAACAACTTGTTAAATTTAGAAATATGGTTGAAGGTGCTCCTTTAACTAATTGGTGGGATAATGGAAAAGATGCTATCGCATTTAGCAGAGAACGCAAAGGTTTTGTTGCTATCAATAATGAACCAAATTCAGTTACTGCATATTTACAAACTTCATTACCTCCCGGCATGTATTGCAATTTATACGAAGGAGGTAAAATTAAAAGAATATGCGCAGGTAGCCTTATTGAAGTTGATGAAAGCGGTAAAACTAGTGTTACATTAGATTCGAGAAGTGCTATCGTCTTATTGTACACCGATCAAATTTAAATATGAAAAATAATTGTAATAAAGATTGTTAAATAAAAGTTATTTAACTTTTTAATTTTAATTTAAATTGCGCTATGGTATAGGACAAGTTAACCAAATTTAGTCGTATTCAAATTACTAATGCAAAATTAACGAAATGGATAATTTCACTTAATATCGGTGTAAGAGTGTCAGTATGTTTACCCATAATCTCTCAGTCGGAACACAATTACAAGGCATTAGATATTATTCCAAAGATTTCAGATTTTCAGAAATAATAAATTTTAAAATTTGGAATTTTATATATTGAAAGGCTCGATACTATGTTGAATAAGGTCCGATCAGTTCAACGACAATATGGTCTCCGAGAATATGGGTGATTATCTGTTTTAAAAAAGTGCGAGTAATTGTATGTTAAGTTAGATCAAATTGACCATGTAAAGGGTCAGAAACTCTTCAAATTAATCAGTTCGCTGTTGTGTTATTTATAAAGAATCCTGTCCTACCAGCCGTTTACCATCCTTTTAGTATTTAATATATGTGTGTGAAATGATACTTTGTTGCTGTTGCAAGTTCAAATATTTCAAGTTCAAATCTCGATTTAATCATTTAAATAGAAATTTTAAAATTGTTTACACTGCATTTAGTGTTACTTACCTTTGAGGTCAAAAACACGCCAGGGGAAAGCTTTTTTTCAATTTTTCTATAAAAACTAAAATGATTCTGTGCAATTTAGCATACTGCATTTTAATTCCAATTAATTGATAACAAATATATACCGGATAATGCTAGCTTTAACAATTTTATTTGCAAATTTATTAATTTTAGCAGCAGGTTATCATGATCCACATTTTCTTGATAATCGGACAACAATTGTTCACTTATTTGAATGGAAATGGGAAGATATTGCTGAAGAATGTGAAAATTATTTAGGGCCAAATGGATTTGGAGGAGTTCAAGTAAGTACGCTATAAACTCACTTTTTTATTTAATTTTGAGCAAAACAAAAAAATTAAATTAGTTCTTTTTTTTTAGCTTTCTCCAGTTAATGAAAACGTTATAATTAAAAATCGACCATGGTATGAACGTTATCAACCAATTTCATATAAGCTGATTACAAGATCAGGAAACCGTGAGGAATTGCAAGATATGATTCGGAGATGTAATGCAGTTGGTGTTAGAATTTATGTTGATGCTGTTATCAATCATATGGCAGCATATGATCAAAACAGAATTAAAATTTTTGGAACTGCAAACTCTGATGCGATACCAGGTGAAAAATTATTTCCGGCTGTACCATATACACCAGACGATTTTAATCCAGTTTGCGGTATATACAATTATCAAGATCCAAAACAAGTTCGTGATTGTGAATTAGTTGGCCTAAGAGACTTAAATCAAACTAAACCACATGTTCGTGAAAAAATTATTGAATTTTTAAATGATTTAATCGATCTTGGAGTAGCTGGTTTTAGAATTGATGCTGCAAAGCATATGTGGCCAAGAGATTTAAGGGAAATCTATAAAAATTTAAAAAATTTGAATACTCAATTTAATTTTTCTACATGTGCTAGACCATTCATTTATCAAGAAGTTATCGATTTCGGTGGTGATACAATAAAAAAGTGAGTATTGCGAATCTTGTCATGCAAATTTATAATCATATTTTTTCTTTATTTTTTTACAGGAGTGATTATACTCCTATGGGCCGCGTTACAGAATTTAGATATTCTGCTGAAATTGGTAGTCTTTTCAGAGGGTATAATAAATTACATTGGGTAAGAAGTTGGGGTCCAGAATGGGGTTTCTTAGAATCTGATTATTCAGTTGTATTTGTTGATAACCATGATAATCAACGAGATCACAGTTCATCAATATTAACATACAAAAATGAAGAATGGTATAAATTAGCAACAGCTTTCATGTTAACACATCCATATGGTTTACCTAGAGTCATGAGTTCTTTTTACTTTTCCGACAAAAATCAAGGTAAATTTTCAAATAACAAAAATGAAACAACTTTTATGAAAAAATATTATCTATATAGGACCACCAAAAGACAATCAAGAGAATATTATTTCACCTACATTTGACTCTGATGGTCTATGTACTAAAAGTTCTGGTTGGGTATGTGAACATCGTTGGAAAGAAATCCGGCAGCTTGTTAAATTTAGAAATATGGTTGGAGACGCCCCTTTAACTAATTGGTGGGATAATGGTAACAATGCCATTGCATTCAGTAGAGAAAACAAAGGATTTGTTTTGATCAATAATGAACAAAATCAAATCAACGCTAATTTACCAACTTCTTTACCAGCTGGAAAATATTGTAATTTATATGACGGCGGAATGTTGGAAAACAAATGTGTTGGAAGTGTATTTGAAGTTGATAAAAATGGTAAGGCAAATCTGGTACTAGATGCTAAAAAAGCGATTGTATTACTTTATACTGAAAAACTTTAATTTATTTAAGATTAAAATACTATTTATTTAATAACACTCATTAAATTCCAAATACTTTATATTTGATTATTTTTGACAAAACATAATACAATAAAGTTAAAAAGAATAATATTTTATTCACATTGCTTTTTAAAAGCTTCATAAAGAGCTTGCGCAGTGGTTACATCTTCTACTGCCATTCCTATTTTAATATTGAAAATTTAGTTTATACAACATTCTTATTAGCAAAATGTTTACCTAAAGATTGGAAAATTGATATTCCTTCTTCCGGAATTTTAGTTTGATCAATTATTGCTTCTCCAACTTCGCAAACGATATTACATTTAAGATCTTTTAATTCAACTGAAGCTCCAGCCCAGTGATCAATATACAAAATACTTTTATCGTAAATTTTTTGTGATAATTCAACATGATGACTTGTAGGCCCACAGCCAACAGCTTAAATAGAAGAAATAAAATTCTTTTCATTAGAAACCAAATAACAAATATCTATGTTTGGAAAAACAAAATATTTTTACCGTTAATATGAACATCTTTTTTTAACATATTAAAATGGATAATAGGCTCATCAACATAAGTTGATGTTACGATTATATCAGCATTCCTAACACAATCATCAATACTTGAAAATACTGTTATATTTATGTTTTTATTTATAAAATTTTCTTTTTCACTTTCTAAACAATTCAATAAACTGAAAGCTTTTTCGGTTGTACGATTCCATAATTGTATAGATTTTATAGGAAATGTATGGCATAATCCAAGTGAATGACTTTTACCTTGAACACCACAACCGATTATAGCAACAATTGGCTCTTTAATATAATTTTTACGTTTAAAATATAAATATTTTGTTGCAATAACTGATGCAGCTGCCGTTCTCCAAGCTGTTATTTCAGTTCCATCAATAATACATTCTAATTGACCGGTCTCTGAATTAAATAATGCTATATTAGCTAAAATACTTGGTAATGGTGGATTACGTTTTTCATTCTCTTTAAACATTGTTACCATTTTACAACCAAGTGTACTATATTTTTTTGAATTTAATGTATAGTTCGAGACAAAACCCGGCATTGTAAATAATAACCCATGATTATTAATATTATTTATATTTGTTCTAGTTCTTGCTGGTTGATCAGCTGATGATTCTTTATTATGTTTTCGTAACCAAGCAAAATCAGCTGAACAACAAATAGCCTTAAAAGCTTCTTCTACAGCTTCATTAACTATAGGCCATGTAATAATTTTTTTAACTTGTTCATCTGATATTATTACTGGTACTGACATTTTTGTAGTATAATTATTTCTTGTTTTGTTTTTATTGCAAAAAAATATTTATGTATAGAATAAATAAAGTATTTTCTTATCCGATTTTATATTATGCAACATGCGCTCAAAACGAATGCACGGTAAGTACTGATTAATTTTAACTTTATAAAACTGAATTGAGGAGAGAGAGAGAGAATATTTTTTGTTTTAATTATTTCTTTTAATGATAATCAATACTTATATTAGATAAGACAACATAAAAAAAAATTTTATTTATCTTCAATAGAGTCTATTGAAAACACAATTGAGTATATTGTAAAAGTAATTGCGTATTTTATTAATGTATTTTTAACCAAGTGATCATAAAATTTTCACACCACGCTATAAAAAGTTCGGTTTAAAAATAATATACATATATATTTATATAGTCTTATTAAGCTTTGATTTAAAAAAAAAATGAGAGAGAATAAGAGTAAAAATGTTTTATGACTCAGTTTCAAATAATTAAAATGAGCAATCCGACCAGCCATCAAGTATTCATTTATAATATCCAACAACCTTAAAAAATGTTGAGTTTTGAGATTATTTTATCAGAAATTTTTCATTTCTCTTTCACTAGTAAGTGGTAAGTAAAATTATATATGCTATACAAAAAAATCTTTCTTTCTTACTCTCATTTCTCAATTTCAATAATTGATTGATAATTTATACATAATAATTATAAAAAAGGTAATACGGGTTTTTCGCGCTTTCGTTTAATGCAAGTATCTAAAGATTATACTATCTTAATCTATTTATTATTTGTAGATTGTAGATTTTTGCACCTAACTGATGAACTGCACCCAATGAGATCCGAAAGGCTTCAAATCCCCCACTGTCAGAGCAAATCCCACCAGTATTTCCTTCTCCTCGAGACCACTTCGAACGAGAACATTACATTGTCCCAGAAAAATACCAAGGTCTCTTCATCCTTTCCACAGAATTTGCAAGTGTACTTTGCAAATCCAGCTTAACGAAGTGCCCCCTAAGTCTACAATGAGAATTCAATCCCCGACAAGGCCCAGGTGAGAATTCTCAATAGATTCTTGTCTAACCCAATAATCTTTTTAAATCGCTTATGGTCATAATCTCCAAGAAGTTCCATTGCGTGTTGCAACCGCGAATTCGTTGTCTATTCCAGTGAAACAATAACCGTCTTTCTGATTCTTTTCTTAGTTCTCAACGAACAGTATGTGATCCGTATCCCTATACTTTTGAGAATTTGTCTATAAAAAATATTTTCTTAAATACTTTTATTACCTATTTCCTATTGCATAACGGTAAGTCTACGTCTATATACGATTCCATAATTGTAAAGAATTACTATTATGTATTTACTGGACGAGTGATGATAATAATTCGATAATAAATAATAATGAAAATAAAATGAGCATTATCAATACTTAAAACAGCTTTTAATTGAAGAATAACTTTTGTATTGCATATGCATTGGCGTAAATATGAAATTGTTTATGTGTGAACAAAAAATAAAGTTATTCCTAGTTATTCGCAAAGCTCCCACTATATAATAAGCTTACATACATGTTTTTAATTTGTAAATTAAAATTTTAAATTAAATATGTTGAGAATTTTCTTGTAAGATTGCAAATAGTCGAATAAAATTTTAAAAATTTATTTTGAACACAATTAAATTTTCAATTATTTTTGTTTTCTGCTACGTTAAACTTTCGATGTACGTACATATACGTGCTAATATGTATGTAATCTTAAATAACAAACAATACTTTTTTTACTTTCATATATTTTAATTTTTTAATACAAATTACAATTTAGTTCCCAAATGAATAGCTAATACACCATCATATTCATCTTTACGTAATGTTATGTGACCATAGCCATGTTCTTTTATTGTAACCGATTTTCCAGTACATTTTCCAGATACTTTATCACCTGAGATTATATCACAATATACTCCAGGTGGTAAACAAGTTTGAAAATCTCTATCAATATCAGTATGATCGCCATTGAAAACAATAAAACCAGATCCACCCCGACAGAAAGCAATTTGATTTTTTCCATTATCCCACCAATCATTAAGGCCAGTTCCTTTAACAGTATTTCTAAAACCAATCATATTAGTTATTTGACGCCAACGATGTTCACAAACCCATCCATCACCGCAACTTCCATCTAAATTAATTTTTGGTGATATTAAATTTTCTTTCTCATCTTTTGGTGGTCCCTGATCTTTATGATTAAAATCAAATGAACTCATTACACGTGGTATTCCGTAGGGATGTGCTAACATAAATGCTGTTGCCATTTTATATTGTTTCGATTGTTTATATGTTAAAATATCACCACCACCACCATGATCACGTTGATTATCATGATTATCAACAAAAACTAAAGCATCTTGTGTGGGTAAGAAATCCCATTCTGGACCCCAAGTTTTCAACCATTTCAAATCATTATGACCTTTAAAAGCTCGACTAATTTCTTTTGAAAATCTAAATTCCGTAACAGCACCTATATGATTATATTCATATTTAGAAATTGCTTCACCACCATTATCAATTACTTCTTGGAAAATGAATGGTCTAGAATTCGGTGCAAAACCATAATTAGTATTAAGATTTTTTACTCGTTTAAAAATAACCTATAAATTATTTAAAAATATTAAAATTGTGCTTTTTGAAGACACTATAAGAAACAGTTTTTCAACACTGAATTATAACAGTTTTTCATATATTATAAAAAATTTACCTCCATATCAATTGGCCACATGTGTTTAGCAGCATCAACTCTAAATCCTGCAACACCCAAGTCAACTAAATGATCTAATGCTTCAACCATTTTATCTTGAACATATTTTTTACTTTGATCTAAATCTTTAAGACCAACTAATTCACAATTTCTAACTTCAACCGGATTATTATAATTGTTTATTGAACAAGTTTGATGAAAATCTAAATGAGAATATGGTATAGCTGGAAAATCTTTATTTCCTGGATTAGCACGTGTTCCACCAGTACCAACAGCATCACGTCCTTGATCTGCAGCCATATGATTCAAAATAATATCAACATATATTCTAATACCAACATCATTGCAACGGCGTACCATTGAAGCAAATTGTTTTTCATCACCGGAACGTGTATTTAACTTATATGACATCGGTTGATATCTTTCGTACCATGGTCGATTTGGTACAACAACATTTTCATGAACTGGCGAAACCTTTTTAATATTAAATTATATATTAGTTATATACCGAAATGATATCAATTAATAAACCTGAATTGTACCTGAACTCCAGCAAATCCTTTTGGTGCTAAAAATCTTTCACATTCTTCAGCAATATCATCCCATTTCCATTCAAATAAATGTACAATTCCACTTCGATCATTCCATTGATTTGGATTATGTTGCGCGTTTATATAATTAAAATACAACGCTATTAATAATAGCAAAATTTTTGAAAACATCTTTTCCGTATTGCAAAAATCAAATTTAATTAAATTTAAATGGTATTTTCTAGCCTTTTATACATTTCCGTATGATCAAACTTGTTATTAATCTTGATAATGTCTTCAATATACTTACGAATGATAAGATTATTCTTTATTCACATACTCTATTGTAATATTCAAAAGGTTCGATATCACACTGAAATTCAAAGTAATAACAAACTATTCTAAAAATAATAACAGCAGAATGACTTTTCGTTTAAGTGATAAGTCAAGAAACAATTTATCATTTTTTAATAGATATTATTTAATTAATTAATTATTGAATGAATTTAGTATGCCAGTTTGCTAAATATCAAGAATTTGTGTGTACTTCTCTGTCCATTTAAATATGAATGCATCGCCACACACACTCAAAATCTTATAAAATATTGTATAACGGAATTATTCATATTTATGCGAAGTATCTTGTACAAAGATGTATTCAATTAGGATTGCTTCTTGATTGATTCAATTATAAGTTACAAAGTTCAATTAATTTATATACATAAATTAATATACATACATATGTCAATACTAATATCGTAATGTAATTGACTACTTATGAGTGATTCAATATAAATGTCACTTCATTGTTGTGATTCCACCTTCTATGAACTCAACAAAAACAAAATATACCTCAATTAATTTAAAAACTTTTATAATATTTCAAATTTCTAAATTCATCTGAAAAACGATAATTCTTTAAATCCAGTATAAAAGATGAAAGAGATATAAAGAAAACAAAGTCGAATAACTACTCCGTAATATAGCACTCGAACGACCACAATTAAATTTCCATTATTATGCGGTATGATTATTATCTTCAAAAATAAATTTAAGTGGGGTGATTTGGTCCTCTACCTAACAATTCATTCAATTCAATTACTTTCAACAATATTTTGAGTACATTTTATTTTTAAACTACATACATATATAAATTGAAATTATTATAAAATGAAATTTATTATTAGAAATAAATTTAAAATATTGACAATATTAGAGTAGATAAATATTGTACATATGTACATAGAATTATTAGCCCTGTGAAGGAATAATAATTGTTGTAAGTTAAAATTCAACAATAAAATGTACTCATGTAGCATAAATGCTAATATCAAAATTTTTTACAAAAAATTCTTTTATGCAAAATTATATATATACATATGTATATAGAATGAAACTATTAAATAAATATAGATGGTAAAAAATAGTATGCCATTTTCTATAATTTTGATCCTTGATGTATTGCAAGAACACCATCATATTCAAAACTGGCAATTCTAATTCTTGATTTACCATTTGAGTCGACTGTTATTTGTTTACCATTGCATCTATTATTTATTTTTATTCCAGATATAATATCACAATATTCACCAGGTGGTAAATTTGTTTGTAAAATTTCATCAAAATTTTTATCTTCACCATTAAAAGCTATAAAAGCTAAATTACCACGAGAAAATGCTATTTGATTTTTTCCATTATCCCACCAATTTTTAATTTCACTTCCATTAGCAATATTTTTAAAACCAATCATATTAGAAATTTGACGCCATCGGTGCTCACAAACCCATCCATTACCGCAACTACCATCTAAATTAATTGATGGTGATATTATATTTTCATTAATATCAGCTGGTGGACCATCATCAGATTTTTGAAAATCAAATGAACTCATAATTCTTGGAATCCCATATGGAAATGCTAACATAAAAGCACTTGCCATTTTATACTGTTTTGATTCTTTATATGTTAAAATATTCCAATTTTTTGATCGTTGATTATCATGATTATCAATAAATACGATTGCATCTTGTGATTGTAGAAAACCCCATTCAGGTCCAAAACTAATTAACCATTTTAAATAATTTCCGCCTTTAAAAGCACGTCCTATTTCTGATGAAAATCGAAATTCTGTTACGGCACCCATACTATTGTATTCATATTTTGATATTGCTTCTCCACCGTTATCAATAACTTCATGATATATAAAAGGTTTGGTATTAGGTGGAAAACCATGATCAATACTTAAATTTTTTAAACGTCCATATAAAATCTAAAAACAAAAATTTCAAAATATAAGTAACTAAAAGTAATTCTACAAGACAATAATATATATTAATATTTATTTACTTTTAAATCACTTGGCCACATATGTTTTGAGGCATCAACTCGAAATCCACTTACACCTAAATCAATCAAATAATTCATTGTATCAACAATTTTTTTCCGAACACTTTCAATAGTTTGATTAAGATCCTTTAAACCAACTAATTCGCAATTTCTTACTTGATACGGATTATTATAATCATATATCGCACAAGTTGGATGAAACTCATTGTATGAATAAGGAACAGCAGGATAATATTTTTTATCTGGATTAGCTGTGCTACCACCAGTACCAATTACTACACCATTAGGGGGTTCAGCTGCCATATGATTAATTACTAAATCAACATAAATTTTCACTCCAACACTATTACATTTTTGCACCATATTAGAAAATTGTGCACTATTACCAGATCTTGTAACTAATTTATATGAAATAGGTTGATAACGTTCCCACCAAGGACGATTAATTTCTATGATATTTTCATGTACAGGTGATGTCTAGTATTTTTGTTTTTCTCAAATTCATATTTGATTTTTTTTTAAATATTGTAAACTTATACCTGAACTGCTGCATATCCTTTTGGTGCTAAAAATCTTTCACATTCTAATGCGATATCATCCCATTTCCATTCAAATAAATGAACAATTCCACTACGATTATACCATTTATCATATTGTAATCCATTTGAATCTTTGACACAAAATATAGTATACAGCAATAAGAATATTTTAATATTCATTTTTATATTTCCATATAATCAATTCAAACAAACAAATACGATCTAAAATTTGTAAAATATGGAATTGGTTTTCAATATTAATTGTACAGAAAATTTTAAATTAAATATAATATCGGCTTTAAAATTACCATAATATTAATTCTAATATAAGATAAATTGATGAATTGCAAAAATATATTTAATTACTTATATGAAATAAATTTTCTCCAAGAAGTTAATCGGTACAAATGTGATTTTGAACTGAATTGAACTCTCTTTCTCTTTTGAAATATTATTTTTCAGAGAAGAATTTTACATTAAATAGAGAAACTGGTCAAATTCTCTGAGTTTTTTATGCAAAAATTATATGTTTTGTTTCATATTTATAACAATAAAATGTAAAAATATATTATTCGGGATACAGCTTATGTGTTGGATTACTTTTTCGATACAAAAGAGTGGTGCATTAGATTGTCGGTAAGCATATCATAATATTTTGAATTATTGTAGTACTAAATTAAAAACGATTATTTTAGAACAACTTTATTCGATATATTATATCGACTTTGAAACTATCGATCATCGTTTATTATGAACTGTTTAGTTTATACCTATTTTTCCATTTGATTAATGAAATGAAAAAAAAAAAATCCGGTTATATTCGTTTGATTCACTCAGTCTGAATGTTTCGTGAAGATATCATTAACTGTAGTATATTTATTCTAAAGGAAAATATTTGATGTTGATTAATGTAAAAATTGGAAATTGAAAAACTTGGAAATCTATGTTACACACTTGTAGTTTAAAGTTCATTTTAAGCAATTACCTTACACGATCTGCATATTACAGAACATAGCGATAAGTTTAACGATATATCGAAAATATCGATTACTTAATATATCGATAATTTTCCATACACTATAATATATTGTGTCATAATTCTTAATATTTCTAAAAATACATAATTTTTTATGTGATTTCTCTTTATACATATGAATCTATTTTAAAGAGAAGAAATCTAGTTTTCTCAGTTGTAATAATGGCATGCGTACATTATTATACGTACGTAGAATACATGCGTTTTTTGAAAGTCGGTATATTTAACTGGAAGTAATTTTATTGTATCCATTAAGCACATGACATGATCTTGTTCTTAGAAATATGGTCATATACAACGGTCAATAGATTTCTTATCAATAGAGAATTCTCTCTACAGTTATTTTTGAATGATTCGAATGTAAATTATGAAACAAAAATATTACCTATTACCTTACATTAGATTTTATTAAAAATTACATTAGATTTTATTAAATATAACAATAAATTTTTAAACCAAATTAAGATTTTTGAAATTAAGATTTTTCTGTAAATCAATGCTAACATAAATTATTTATTTTGTTTACTTTGGCAATAATTGACAATTTTAAATAAAATAAATTATTTTTTCATTTAAACTTTCAATTTTGTAGCCATTACTCTTAAGATTTTATAAATACATTTACTTATTAATGATAATACACAAGAATAATATCAAGAATACTTTCAATTATTTTCAAATCGGTAGACAAAAACGTAGAGAATCTTTTTTTGTAAAGATAAATTTAGAATCAATTAATTTCAATAGTTTACAAATATGTAAATTAATTGTAAAACAATTTGAAATTTAATTGAATTTCATTATAATTTTATTTTAGATCATTAATCGAAATCAAATCTGTATATAGATGCATACTTATGTATATATTACCAGTCATAGCTACAATTTAAAAATGTTTTTCACATAATCAATTGAACGAAAGTGGTTTTTCATTTACAGTATTAAGATGCCGTCGCAAAATCAAAAATAGATTGATTTATACATAAAAAAATACTTTAATTAAAATTAGGTTACTGTGTAATTTTTTAAGAACGATTAAACTGTAGATCATCAGAAGTGCCTACCTACCTATACACATTTATTAGTATCTATCTATACAATAATAGAATAGAAAAATAATAAGAATAAACTTGAACTTAACCTCCGTCGTACCATAGATTACTAATGTACATCATGAATAATTTTAGTACCTTATGTTTTGTGCACAAAATACAGTTTGTGCAAAAATGCAATTTTGCTATAGTAAAGTGGCTTTTTTTAGTTGTCTATTATAATTTTGTATATAGGTATTAAGATGTTTTTTACTTCTGAGAAGCTTAAAAATTTTGGTTTTATCACAAAATTTTTCTTAGAAATTTAATATTAAATTTACATAGTAGCAAAAAGATTTTGTATTAATATTAAAATGAGCAAAATTTTATATTAGAAATTCTTTTATTTTTTTTTTTAAACACTAGAAATTAATTATCACATATTTCCCATTCAACAGGATAATATTTTGCTTTATTGTCTGACATCCAATAATTCGAACAAAACATACTGCAAAAATTACAGGTGAAAATTACTTTTGAAGTACTATTACGCCTAAAAATAGAAAAACAAAAAATATTTGTAATTAAATTTCTTAATAAATAAACTTTGTTAAAAAGTAGAAGGTAAATATTTCAGAAATAATTAAAAAATTTTTCTCAGATAACTTTCAAAATCTTGAAAAATCATTGAGAATCTCATTCTTGTCTTTTTAAATCGAATCATATAAGGTATCAAATTCTGAGTATCGAATCACTAAATGATAGTGATAATTCTCGTTGAAAGTTCGATATTATTATTGTTAACACAAATCAATTCATACAAATGATTCGGGAATCACTATCACTGAGATGTTCCATATTCAGAATAAATCCCAATATGTATTTCCTTACTCAAAACATTCTAATGAAGATAATATAATGTATTTATTTACCTTTTTACTACCATTAAATAATATGAAGTATATAATAATTTTGTACAAAAATTACACATTGATATTGGGCCATTTTTAATATGATTTTTCATAGCAACTGTTGGTAATGTATTTAAAATTTCATTATGCTTATGAATTGATATAAAATGATTCATATAGTTGATACAACGTAAAGCATGATCATATAATGTTACAGAATTTTCACATGATGGTATTGGAAATACTTTTAAAGTACCAATTGGTAATAATAAAATCTTATTTGTTTCTTTTTCTCTTATTAAAAATAGGTATGGATCTATTGTTGTTCTAAAAAATAAAAAAATTAATTAAAACTTTTCTGAAATGTTCGAATTCTATTTTCTTCTTTTTAATTTATTTACCTTGGAACATTTTGTACTTGCTGATAAAAACTTGTAAAATGTTTTTCATATGCTATTGGAATATGAGTTATTTGTAAATTATTAAACATTCTAACATGTGCTATAAATTTTGATATTGATGCTGGTAAATAAAGTAATCCACATCCTTAAAAAAAAAAAAAAACAGATTCATAAGTATGTATATATGTAAATAAAAATTTTTTGCAGGTATAATATGAAAATCCTTACTATCAGCGGAAAGTGTTTGTAATGTTCTCATATTTGCTATCCTATCTGGTATATAAAGTAATTCAGCTAATCCATTTAGAAAAAGTTCTAAAAGTCTTGAACATTCTGATATTTCTACTGGTAAAGTTTTTATTGGATTTTCACTTAAATCTAAACATTCTAATTTTTTTAATTGTCCGATACCTAAAAAATAAAAATTTTTAGTAAAATCATTAAAATATCCATTAGAAAATTTTAAAAATTTTTAATATATTTATAAAATTTCGTTCACGTCAAGTATTGTAATTATTTTTACCCAGATTGCCTATGTCTATACATTTCAACGTGTGTCGATTTCTTTCATTTCTCCAAGCGTAAAATAGCAAAATAAGTAACCTGTTGGTACATATACATACATATGTATGTGTGTGTGTAGTTATGTATGTATGTATGGAAAGCCCGCTTTCCTTGCTAAATTTAATCAAATTTTTTACTCACATCTTTTAACTAAACGTTAAAACAACAATTTTGTTATTTTTAAATTTTTGTTATTTTGATAAAATTTAATTTTCAATCTTGTAGGCATTCAATACATACATAATATAGGTAATATAAAAAACATGCCTAATAAGCATATTGAAATTTCATAGTAGTTTTAAGTGTATAAACTTGTTATCCCAAAAATTTATTGAATGATAACGTCAACAAAAAAAAAAAAATAAACATATTTTGGAGGAAAATAATTAAAATTGTTTGTTTCTAAAACTTTATCACTTACATATGTGCATACTATGTAATGTCTGTATTACAATACAATGCCGCAACATATTTCAAAAACAAATTTTCTAAGTTGCTCCAATTTGCAATGTAGAAAAAGAAATCTTTATGTAAAAAATAGGCAAATTATGCAACGTAAACAATATATGTACATATGTATGTAAAATAAACAAAAAACGGCCTATATTAATATCATACATATGTACATACATATGCTAGGTTCATATTAATATGTTCAAACAGCTGTTCATCTTTCACACTCAATTTGGATGTTAAAAATTCAAATCCCAAAATTTTTAAATTTAAAACAGCATAAGTAGGTGCATGCATTGACACATGTAAATATGGAGAGTAATATACTTAAGCTCCGTCGATTAAAAATTCTAGGAATTTTTGATAATTCAGATACATACATACAATGCACTTGAAATTTTAACTGAAATTCAGTTCTAACTCAGTTAAATTCAGTTTAGGTCTTAATAAATCCAGCCGGCAAAAATAGCATTTTCAAAAATTACTGTTTTGCTTAAAGTTCTAAAGGAATTTTTAAGTTTTTTTTTCATAACTACTAAAAAAATTTTATAAATTACAGAAGAACATAGTAAAAAAATTTTCGATATTGAAGAATTCCTCGAGTATAATACAAATCCGAAAGTAAAAAATCTAGTTTCGCAGATTAACAACACTAAGATTTTCGAAAGTGCATATTTTGATTTTTTCCGAACATGATTCATATTAAGATTTAAGTTAGAACTGATCAATTGAATTTTCGAATTTTAGGCCTGCATCACCTGTATTATTTATTAAAACATTTAAAATATAGTCATGTTTAATGAATATACATACATACTTACTTTTTGGAATACTTTTAATCATATTACCACCTAAATTTAAACGTTCTAAATTTTTTAATTTACCAATTGTATTTGGTATTTTATCTAATAAATTATTGGATATATCTAAAAATTCTAGATTTTCTAATAAATAAATATCATCCGGTATAGAATTAATTGAATTACCGGTAAGATGTAAAAATTTTATATTATTTAATTGTAAAAGCCAAGCCGGTATTGATGTTAAAAAATTTTCTTTTAAATAAATTTCTTCAGGTGTCTCTTCATAATATAATAAATCAATTGGTACATTTGTAAAATCTCTATAACTCCAATGTAATGTTGTACATTTATTCATTATTTTTTTTTTTTAAATTATATAATAAATATTCTTTTTTTTCCCGATTGAATAACGTATAATTAAAATTTTTAATATTTCTTTTTTTTTTTTTTAGGTCAAATAATTTTTCTTCTTGTTCACTGTTTTAAAATTAATAGAAGTGTTTACACACGTTTACAGTATAAATTCAAAGAAACAACTGCGATGAGGAGAATTTCAAATTGAAATTTTTTTTTTTTTTTTAGAAAATTATTTGACAAAACTCTTAAAATAATAATTATTCTCTTTTTTCTCCTCCGTCCTCACCTAATTATTTATTCTTAATTTGCATTAACACACTGATCAACATTTTTGTGAGATTTTTAAAAAATTTAAATAAATAATCTATTTTTATTTTTAGAAATTTCAAATAAAATTTTTGTTTATAATTTTGTTTTTCTTTGTTTTTTTTTTTCGCATTTTAAAACTAAAAATCACTAATTGTATTGGGTAAAATCTTAACCTTCAATAAAACTATTTTAATAGGTATATATGTATGTATGTAAATAGTTAAATTGTTTTTTCCTTTATTATTATTACATAGTATAAACTTTGGCGTTTATTTTAATAACCTAAATAAATGCAATTCAAGTTGCAAATTCACCATATGAAAGGTATAATATTATGTATGCATGTGTGTATGTCATAGGGGTGTTTGCAATTTTTAAATATATATATGTACAAATTGCATTATGAATGTATAAGAATTATAAAAATGCATTTCAAGTGCAAGTTCATTAAGATTGCGCATGTCCGAAACTTAGTTTTCAAGGTTGTCGCTTTTTTTTTTTTGTTTTTTTTGGTTATCGTTACCATTGAAAACTCACGTGGTCCTGGAAGGTAAATACATAATATATATGTATGTATATTGTAACAGTATTCAAAAATTATAAGAACTTTGTTTATTTTATTCTCCAGATGTACACACATTAGTTACTTATGCATTTAAAATAACCTATACTATGTTTATATGTATGTACATATAGTAGGGATATTTACCTAAATTATATATGTATGTATGTAAGTATGTACCTACTTAGCTTTCAAACACAGAACAAATTTATTTATGTGTGTATATACTTTTAACTACAATGATGTGTGGGTTGTATTTATGGCTATTTTTATATACGTACATATGTATGTTTGTACATATTCCTTCCATTTCACTATAAATAATTTGTACGGATAAGTAGATATGAGGGAGGATTGTGAAAGTATGAAACATCTGTATTTGCTACCTACATAATCCAAATATTTTAAGTACATATGTATGTACATACAAGTGAGGTAGCTATATGAATATATAGGTGTACAAATTAAAAAAGACTAATATTCCGTTTGCATTTAGAATTCGCAAGAATTTACCGTAATTTACATCTCAAAAATACAAAATATTACCTAAGAATTGCCCATACATACTTACATATGTATATGTACATACTCGCTTTTTCTTCTATTAATTTATTATTTGCCTTAGCAGTAAATAAATACAAATACAGGTCCGGGTTCAGCAGTAAAACTCAAATTGTGAGATATTAATCAAAAAACCTAAAATTCTATTATGTAATTATACAAATTCAAAAATAGGGAAAGCCCCAGTTTTACAAAATAAAATACATAAAGAGATTAATTGAAGTGTCCATCTGATATCAGTTGGAATTTTCTTTGGACAATGTTTAACAATAAAATCGCAACTCTGTTATAAATTTCACAAAATAAGTAAACGAGCAAATACCGAAATTTTAATACGTGTGACGAATTTCTTATTATTTTATACATTATTATATTCAACTGTTATACGAATTTTTAGGGACGCGAGGAATAAAATACAACCACAATGAATCACATACACAAAAGCGGTTTTAGTGATCACTAAAATACAAATTTTTTTATTCTTGATTTCTTACTTCGATACACTGACTGTTTTATATTTCAACACCCTGTCTGTTTATTAAATGCATAGACATAAGTATGAATATATTTTATTGAGGGTATATCCAGCTTCTTTTTTGAATACGGTATAATGAAAAGTTGGAAACAGTTAAATACATACATACACACATATATCCATATATACATATCTATGCATGTAGATACTTAAATAATATTTAAAAGACTAAAATAATGTTTCATGTAAAAAATTCTTTATTTTTTTTCAATTTATTTTATTAAGAGTAATCGCTACTGCTTATTCCGCTTAGCTCCAGCTGGAGGATTTTGCAAATTGAATGCAGGTGCACTTCCGAAGGTACCAGTACCAAATAACGGCTTATTATTAACACCAAATCCTGTGCTGATATTATTACCTAACAATCCCAAACCAGCTCCCGTTGTTTGTGGAGTACCACTAACAAATGTTGATAAATTATTAGATGGCGATGTTGTATTATTATTGCGATTACTTTGCCACATAATACCAGTTGAACCGGAAAATGGTGTTGGTCCAGATGATATATTTGAAACCCCAAGATCATTGTTATCAGTTTCTAATTCTGAAAACACATTTGTAGTATCGCGTAAATAATATTTTCTTAAATTTAAATATTGTTCTTTTTGTGCTTCAACTTTTTGATGAATCTCATGTAAACGTCCAGCTAAAGCAATAAAACTTTCATGAATTTGTTGTAAACCCCTTTTAAGATCTTCAGGAGAAAATGATTGTGGGCAAGTTAATGAACGCATATGTTTTTCTGTTAGCTCCACTTGATTTCGAAATGCGATCATATCTGTTTCATATTTATGAACTAATTCCTGAAAGTATTGCAATGGCATTGTGTTTTCAAATTGTAATCCGACTGGTGTTTCATGAGTTCGTTGGGCCATTTCAACACTCTGAATTGCTTTGGATGTATCTAAACGTAAATTTTTTATTTGACCATAATTTTTTTCAACACAATTTGAAATATCTTGTAAGGACCACTCCAAAGTTTTAATATCCCCAGAAACGTTTTGCAATTTCCTAATAGTAGATCTAGCTATATCTGAACTAATTGATTTTTGTTGCTTTATAAAATTCTTCAAATTCTCGACTGTTTCTCGAATAGGTTGAGGTATAATTATATCTTTGACCTTAATGTCTTGTTTTCCTTCAGAGCTTTTTGGTTGCGTAGAATTTAAATCCACGCCTCCTAATCCTGCAGATGCTGCAGGTGCAACAGATGTAGCGACCAAATTTGGACCTGGTGCTGACTGCTGTGGAGCCAAAGCATTTGTGTTTCCGAATAAAGCACCACCTAAAGTTGGGAAAGCAGAAGTGGTTGTTGTAGTTGGTTTGGCAGCGAATAAGGTACTACCTAAATTTGTACCTAATGTGGCAGTTGTCGTTGTTGTACCAAAATTAAGACTAGCTGAGGTTGTACTAGTTAATGCTGGGGCAGATCCAAAAGAAAATCCCGTCGACGTTGTTGCAGTTGCCACAGTGCCAAAAGAAAAATTTGTGGTTACGGCAGGGGCAGTAGTTTTTGGTGGTGCGAAACCTGTAAATGCTGGTGTTGCAACCGTTCCAAGCGTTGGTTGATTTGGTTGATTTTGCGTTGGTTGATTTTGTGTTTGTTGGATTCCACCAAAATTAAATCCTGTAGTTGGCTGATTTGTATTAGCAGGAGGAATAGTTGCTTGCAATGAAGCAACTGTTGTTGTAGGTGTTCCAAAATTAAATCCTAAAATGATTATTTAATATGATGCATATTTTTCGTTTACAAAAACTAGTACCTGGAAGGGAAGGTGCATTTTGTGCTGTATTTGTATTTGTCCCAAAATTAAAACCAGCGGATGCAGGTTGACCTTGTGATATACTTCCCGTATGGGTTGCAGTCCCAAATGAGAACGCTGCTGTTGTAGTTGTTGCAGGATTACCAAAACCAGACATTATTTAAAATTTTAATAACCTTACTTACGCCAATAGCTTTGGCGCTTTTCAACAACCTTGATTAATTTATAAAAATATGGCTAATACAATAAATTTTTTAAATATAAAAAACTTGGTAATTTTTTTATATTTTAAACTTTATCAAACTCTAATATCGTTTTTGCACATCATTAAATATTAATATTAGAACTTTTAAATTTTATGACCAGAAATTGATTCATGTAAGAGAAAGAAAAATTTGTCTAGAAAAAAAAACTAAAAAACAATATTTATTCAAAAAGACGTCATAATAGTTGTTATTTCAATCTATTGTGAAAATAAAAATGAAATTAATGTCAAATATTCACAATATCGCCTAATGAGCCCTATGCACTTTAACTTTTAACATATGTACATAATTTTTAGACGACAAAGTATTTGGAAAATTTCATTACAACATAAAAAAATCTCTGTATAAACATAGCTCAGTTGAACAGTTTCCAGAATAATAAGAAAACTATCCAATATAATTCGAATGATAATTTTTAGCGAGAGCAAACCTCCAACAAAAGCAATCGTGAATTGAAAATTTTTTTCTTTTTTTAACCCAGCATTTACACATACAAGTTACTTGCATGCAAGTTTGTATAATATTAATTGCCAATTAGTTGTTCGAAATGTCAAATTACTTGCTATTATGACGTAGGCGTTTAGCAAGTTAATTTTTGAAAATGTCTTTGAGAAGAAAACAACTAGCAATATATATAATTGTTTATAAATTTTAGAAACCATAAGTTTGCTAAGTTTAATTTTTTCAAAACAAAATTCAAAAATTTTAAATTAAAAAAAAAAAAAATCAAAACAACAAATTTTTTTTTGTGAATTTCTCAATATGTCAAATTACTTGCTCAAATTACTGGCAGCAAAATTTTCTTGCAAGTTGAACTGCAAGTAAACAAGCAAGTAGAAATATTTCAATGTGTTAGTAAAATTTTTGTATGTATTGCAACTTTCTTGCAAGTAACTTGTACGTGTAAATGCTGGGTAAATAAAAGTTTAATTCCAAATAATTGTGAATTGATAATCACCTAAATGTCAAAAATATGTCAATTTCTGCCGATTTTTGTTTATATATCATGTAGGTTTGGGTATGTATGTACATATATGATTTGTTTACTTACTGGTTGTTTGATAGAATAAAAAAGTTGAAAAATTATAGTTGTTTGGAATTAGGAGCAAATAGAAAGTGCTTACAGAAATAAAAAACACATTTTATTTTTTTCCGATTATTTTCTTATTTCTCAAGTATATTTAATTGTGAAATGGGCGTTACAGTACTTCATCCATATGCCATACCAGAAGGGAAAACCGGATCGCAAGCAATGGAACAATTGACAAAACGTTTGGCCGCTTTGGGAGCAATCCATAGTGGACAATTTATTGTTGATTGCGAAACGTATATACTTCCACAATCGTTAAAATCAGTTAACGTGTTGCACAATTCAGAATATCCAGCATCAACATTTTCCATTTTAGACAATGGGACTAAACAAATTCCTTTAGTAGCTGATCATTTATTCGATTTACTATGGATGAAAATTACCTCTTCGCATTTTTCCAAAAAACAAACAATTGTTGAATCAAAAGGGAGTAGATTTGTATACGGTGACTTTTTAATTAAATTAGGAAACGTAACAATGATGGAAAATTTCAAAGGAATTTTGATTGAAGTTGAATATCGTCCTTGTTTGGTACCATGTAATTGTTGGGAAATTATACGAGAACTGCTACAAGGATTCCTTGGTCAAAATATACCAGCAAATATTCCTTCTTATTTTACACAACCTGTTGGAGGAAACATGAATCTAATGAATGTTCATCCTGGGCAAAACGTGATGCAAAAACAAAATGAAATATATCAACCCATAGACACAATTTGTCAGTATTTAGAACACTTTAATAACTTCAGAAAACAAACATCTATGAGTAATATGCATATGGGACAAAATACACTTCGAATGTAAAATTTAAAAACAAATTTATGTCATGTTTTTTCCTTTTTTATTAATTGATATTAAAAAATCTTAAAATTGTAGACACACAAATTATTGTTTAGCTTTCTTTTCTTTTTCTTCATACTCATAATGTAAGTCCATGCAATCTTGATTGGAAATATTTACCCAACCATCCGGTTTTATATGATAGACTCTCACTATACCACCAGAATATGCATCCCTAAATGTTGCATGGTATATCGCTCTCCTACCTAATTCTTGAGCTTCTTCATCTGTTAAATCCCATTTGTATCCAGAATCTAGCACACCAAATGCATATATTGAACCACTACCAACGGAAAAGACGTTTCCTGGGGTACGATTACCTTCTGAATCAACATAATATAAACCAGGACCACGTTTATCGTAACCTGCCAACATCATTCCCATACTTAAACCCATACCTTTGTATGAATGTGCTATATTTGCCATAATTTTACTAGCTGCGGCCACGGAAATCCTTTCTTTATTTCTTAGTTCATGTAAACGACATTCTTTCGATAGAACACGATCCCAATATACACAATCTGCAGCACCTCCAGCCAATGTCCCTAACAGATAACGATTTATTTCAACAATTTTTTTCATTGTTTGTGATCCAATAAATTGTCCTCCAGTTGCACGAGAATCTACTGCCAATAAGACACCACCTTGAAATTTGAATCCCAAAGTTGTAGTTCCATGATCAAAATCAATTTTAATGCCACTTTTTTCTCCATCAGCTATTAATTTTTGAAAGTTCTCACAAGGCTATAATTTTAAGATAAAGGAGAATCATTTAAATAATTAACTTATTTATTATATTCAACTTAACCTACGTTTTCAAATGGAGGCATAGCTAGACACATAGGATTTTTAAAATTTCCTGAATATCTAACAATATCATCTTCAAAACTTGTTAAATTTTTAGTAAATTCATTCTTCATAAAAGCTGCATCCGAAATACCGCAAACTGCTTCCAATGCCATTTTTTAATTATTTATTTATAATTAAACTCCAAACAAAAATTAATTTCTTCTTAATTTATAAAAATGAAAACCAAGCGATGACAAGCTGTTTTACTTCTAATATTTTTTTTGCAAGTAATTAAAAAGTCAAAACAAGACAAGTGTTGCCCATATGAAAATTTGTGGATGTCGTTTTGTTTTAAATATTCTGTCAATAGATGTCTCTGAATATAATAAAAATTACAAATTTTAAAAGAATCACACTAGCGCCGATTTTGAAATTTTATTGACGTTTAATCTAACGTTTATTTCGAGTTTGAGTTTTGAAATTGAAAAGACAACCAGCATTTTTTTTAAGGAGAATTTTTCATTTTTTAACAAACGGAAAAATTAATTTTTAAGAGAGACGTGTTTAAAATATAAATGAATGCCATTTGTTTTAAAGTAAAAATATTAAATTTCATAACATGGTTTCAACGCTTTCAATGTTAGCAGAATATGACGATATACGAAGATGCCAAGAGGTTTTACATGAAGGAACAGCCGAAGAACGTAAGTTTCCAAGTAACAAAAGCACTCCCATATATTAACCGAAAAATTTTAGAATTTCTTAGATTCGCTGCTTTACAAGAAGAATGCAGATTGCAATGGCTCGCAGCTATTCGAGAAGCACAGAGATTAAAAACAGAATTAGATGAAGCCCTAAAGCAAATGTCTCATTTGGAGTCTAAGCTATATCATGCAAGGCGGTTGTTAGATGTTGAATCGAAACTTCGAAAAGAAGCTGAACAAGAAAAGCAAACTTTAGTAATTTCTAAAAATTTCATTTTGTTTATTTTATTCATAAATTTTTTAAATTCAGGAAAAAAAATTAGTAGCTGTTGCTAATGTGGTACAAGATCCAAGCTTTCCCAGTGAAACTCGAGAAAAACTGGAGTTTATTAAAGCACAAACAAAGAAAAGGAAATCACAAAATAATTATGAGGATAAATATGGCAATGATATTAATTCAACGGGTTCATTCTTATCAGATTTATCAGTAACACAATCAGAGGAAGATTTTCTCGATGGCAATTGTTCTCGAGTTTGGAAAAAACATCGCCCTTCATTGACTAAACAAACAGGAACATTTATAGGATCAAAACCAAGTAGATCTTCTCGAGGCTTAAATGAAAGTCGCACTAAAGCAAAGTTAAATGGAAGTATTCATCAAAAACAAGGTGCTATGGATATAGATAGTGATGATAAAATTTGCGCTACAACTAAAGTAACAATTCCAAATAGAGGGGATGGGCCTATTATTGCTGAATCAATTATTGAAGCTCTACCAAAAAATCTTTTGGATGAAAAGGCCCCACCACAGTCCACTGAACCAGGTTCAAGTGACACAAAAACTTCTGATGAAGAAAATGGAAATTTTAAAAGTCCCGATAAAAAAAAATCACCTTCAAAATTCCATACGCCAACGGCTCCACCTTTAAGTGAATTCAGTGCTAATATTAATAATATAAATGCTACTCCCGCACGTAATATAAGGAATAGTGTATTTCGGCACCACTGTTTTGCATCTAAAACTTTTATTAAACCTGATAATTGCTCTCACTGTAATAAAAAAATTCGCTTTGGGTCTTTAGCTTTGAAGTGCAAAAATTGTAGAACTTCAGCTCATGTTGATTGCAAAGATTTATTGACAGCACCTTGTGTTCCCTCAAGCGCCGGTGGTACACCAACATTTAAAGGTAAAAACTTAAATTTTTTGTTTTTTATCAATAATATATTTTGTTCTTTCAATTAGGTTTAATGGGTTACTTAACAGAATATGCTCCATCTACCCATCCAATGATTCCAGCTATAATCGTTCATTGTGTCATGGAAATCGAAAGAAGAGGATTCTCAGAAGTTGGTATTTATAGAATTTCTGGATCTGAAAGAGAAGTTAAAGCATTAAAAGAGAAATTTTTACGTGGTAAAACTCCACCACATATATCGAATATTGATGTTCATGTTCTATGTGGTTGTGTAAAAGATTTTTTGCGATCATTATGTGAACCACTTGTTCCCACCGATTTGTGGTCTGATTTTTCTAATGCAGTTCAAGCTGAATCTGAAGAAGAAAAACGCAAAGAATTATATAGAGCTATTGATCGTTTGCCGCATGCAAACCGAGACACATTAGCTTATTTGGTTTTACATTTTCAACGTATAACAAAATGCGAAGAAATTAAAATGCCATTAGGGAATATTGCAAGAGTTTTTGGCCCTACAATTGTCGGATATTCTAGTCCAGATCCAGATCGTAATGCTATTTTCTCTGAAACTATGATACAATTTCAAGTAATGGAAAATCTTATTAATATACCAGAAGATTATTGGAATAAATATGTACAAGCTGTAGAAGACAATGATATGAATACCTTGAGTGCAAAAAAATCATCGTATTCTAAATATAAAGCTCCTCCACCACCACCATCAACATTTCAAACACCGAATAAAGATGGTTTAAAAACATTATATTGTAAGTGATTTATTGGTATTTTCTAAGTTTAAATGAATTTTACAATATTTAAAAAAAATTTTAGCGACACCATTCAAAGGAAGTATTAGAAAAGATCGAAAATTTTATGGAACACCACCATATTCTAGTAAGAAATATTGATTTTTTTTTTTTTGGGATTAACTGATGACATAAACGTTTAATGATTTGATCACTGCAAGAAGAAAATTATAACGTCCCTATTCAATTAATTATTGAATTATATTTCACTTTTAGTTCAAAAATAAAGGACTTTGTTATATAAATATTTTTGTTAAGTTAAATTTATATAACAATAATTAAGATAACATTAATATTATTAAATACAAGAAAGCAAATAATTTCTTTTGATTATTAATTTCTAATTTTAAATATTTTTTTGTATTATTTGCAATCATGTAATTTTTATTTAGGTACCGGTCTTAATTTTTTTGAATAAAATTTATGAATTTTATTATATACATATACATATATTTATTATTCGAAGGAAAATCTCACAATAGATCAAATGAAGAGGAAAAAGAAATTAAGGGTAACTTCAATTTAAATTTGGTCTATTTCGAATATATTCAAATTCTGTATTGCTACACTTACCCCAAATTCACCAATTATTGACATGACTTCCTTAATTTCCGATCTAATTTCTACATTTCACACAATTCATACATTCTCTTTTAAATGATTTTTGTTTTTACAAACAGGAAGTACACGAAAATTTTTAAATTGATAACAAAAATTGAAATTTGTTTTTCAAGTTTATATTAGATTTAATTTTGTTTTTATTACTATTATTGATAATTTTAACTAAACTTACATTATATAACAATGTATGCACCATTCAAAAAAAAAAATATATATATATAGTTTCTAATATTGTCTCCTATCTTGAATTTTTCTTTCTTGGAATAATTGTTGACCATGCTGTTGGTATTCAGAATTTTGATCATAACTCGGACGTGTTTCAATATGTTCACCTAAAGAATGTCTGCCATGACTTGGTCTATTTGAAATTGATGTACCCAATTCATGGTTACCATGTTCATTATGACTAGGTTTATGATGAATAGTTTCATCTAAATTATTATGATATTGTGGACTTCTTATATGTCTGATAATTGGACGAAGACGATATTGTTCCATATTATAATCTTTTCTATTTTGATGACTTCCTATTAGATTATCATGTATTGGTGGATGATGTCTTACAAAATTTATATTTGTATTATCCACTAATGGATATCCTTCAAAATGTTTAGGTTGTTGTGATTGATAAGCCAAATTAATTGAAATTAATCCAAATAATAAAATGATAGTAAGTGATTTTGTCATTTTGATATTGTTTTTTAATTAATTATAGTTTGCGTTTACAATGCTTAAATTATACTAAATTAGTTTTTATTTTGAATTCCTCTTTTATATTGAATATCTTTAAATTGTATTTAATTTTAAATAAAGTTCCTAGACTAATAATTTTCAATTGAAATTGAGATTAATCGCTAAATGATTACTGATGCTGTTTAGAATTGTTATTCTTAGAATTTAAAAGTTTTAAAAGCTTAAAAATAAAAAAATTTTAATAAATTGCTTTCAATTTAAATAATTTTCATTTTCTACGATTTAAAATTTTTTTCCACAATTTGTTATCAAAAGGAAGCTTTGTAATACAATAAACCCTTATCAATTCAATTGAAATAATATATGTATGTAGAACCTCTGTATTGGTAATGTTTGATAATTTAAATAAAATAAGCTCCGTCTGAAATATAACGAAAACAAATGATTATTAAGATGTTGTTAAAATCACTTATAATATTAAATAAATTATTTAATTGTTGTAAAACTGTAACAACTCAAAATTCATTGATTTGAAAGTTAGGCTTTTGGAGCTTCTTTTTTTTTTAATTTGGGGCTGCTAATTAGATCTACTTTAAATTATGCGCTATTCCAGAATTCTAAAAAGGTTAATAAATTTCAAAATAATAAAAGTAATTTATCTAGTTTCCTGAGGTTTATTTTCTCTATGAAAAAGTTCTATTTTCTGTCTTAAGGTAGGGAGCAGAATCCTGTACTACTCGTTTATATTTAACTAGAACTAACATTACCCATCATAATTACCTATCTTTCTTTAACTTGATAAAGATATCTAATAGTTATTTGAACCAAATTTTTGGTCTGTAATTAGAAACTGAGCTTAAATAATCTTTAAATCTCGATAAACTTCTTTTTATAATTTGCATCTTAGTTAGTAATAGGTACTCATTATCTATCTGTCTTAGATACTACTAATTTTAATTTAAATTACTAATTTTATGGTAAGTAAATACCTACATTTATTATGCTGGATTATTATGAATAGGGTTTCACATCACTTTTAGGTGGGCAATAATTCCTCCTTTAGTTGGGTATTTCATAGTTTTTAGGGCCATAATTTAACAAAATCTATGGGTAAAAAATTATAGTCCAAGCTACAAATTTAGATTTATTAACCTACCGCAGCTGATTTGTACGTACCTACATCAACAACTAATTTTTTTTTTCAAATCAACGCATGGCCGCATAAGGTTAATAGTGTAGAATACAAATTACAGACTTCAACAGTATAAATTGATCGCTTCTATTATTTTTAAGACTAGACATTTTAAAATAATTGAAATAATAAAAATGGTAATAAGTAAGTAAATATTTAAAGGTTAATAATTTATATAAGTAAATATTCTGAAGCGGTGATTCAAATATTTATTTTTAGAACACTAAACCCTGTGTAGACAAAAATGAATGTATACAAAGAAGGAATTTCTTATCTACTTTTGGACAGAATTGGAGAGAACATTTTCATTTTCTTAAATTTATTTTAGTAATTACTCAACTGTAAGTATATCAAACCGTGTATTTATAGACTAAACGCTTATTTCTTATTTTAATAATTGTAGATTTTGTACGAATGAATGATATGAAACATAAGAAGTTCGTTCATATGTACTTGTATAGGGATGCTAGTAGTCTTGATATTTTTGAAATTTTTAATTTTACATTTTCAATTTTCAAATACGAAGTAAAAGTTTATAAATTATAAATGGCAAAATAAATAGCTTAATATTCAATATCTTTTGTTCATACACTTTATTAAATAAATTACATAATACTTAAATAAAATAAAATTACTTAACATTAATATTATTAAATTTAAAACTCATGTGTCAATGTTATTTTACCACCAATATCTGGTTTTGTATTACCGTTTGGTAAACCAAATTGTTGAGAATATGTTCCAGTTCCATGTATAGAATTTTTACCATTTTGACTTTGCCAGATTTTAGTTTGACCTTCAAGATTCAAATTTAGTCGTCCTCCTATTGTACCACCAGTACCAGTACTAGATAATTTAAAATCATTAAAACCTGGTTTTGGTGCATTAAAATTAAATGTTGGTGGATTTTGTACTGGTTGTTGGAACAATTGTGGAAATAAATGTGGAAATTGTGATGGTAGAGCGTATTTTGGTAAATCCCGAAATCTTGTATCTGATGAATTAATGATCGTTAGCGTAGAAAAAATTAATAAACAACAAAATGAAATATTTGGAATTCCGAACATTTTTTTAATTATAAGATTTTTGTTTCTTCTCAATAATATTGTTATTAATTTTTCAGTTGATAATTTTTTTATTTCTGATGCTAAAATAATTTTCTGCTTAATATTTATATGATTAAGACAAGCTATTAGGGGGTTTTTTTTGTTTCTTCTTTAATTATGCTTCTATCTTTAAAACGAAAAATATGCAGATTATAAAAAATTTGATGGTTCCATGAAGTATTTATAGGTATGCATATACAAGTGGATGATTTATATAGTGTGTAGATGTGTATATGAAGCAGAAGATTTAATCAAAGCTTTTATACATAGCATGGTTTAACCATAGATTTATATTGTTTTAAAGCAACAGAGTTCAATGAAAATTCTATTACAAGTTGCTTCTAAATCGATTATTTAATTAAATCGATTTTTGTTTATCGAATCGATAACTGATGAACATGTAATTTTGATATTTTCTCACATGTAATTTTTGTGCAAATAATTTGAGAGTCTTAAGTTATTTTCAATATTTTAATTTATTTTTTAATAATTTACTAATATTTACATAAACAGTCACATAAACTAATAATATTTTATATTAACAAAATGCCCAAATACTATTATTTCATACAAAGTATGCATTTTTCTTTTTAATTTTAATTTAATTTGGTAATAATTGATTTGCTGTAAATATTTCAAAAACTTTCTTACCAATTTCAGAAAATTTCTTTTCTAATGCCTTTTCAATTGATGGTAATATATCATTAGCTATTGCAATTATATTATCATTAATTGAATCATTTATAACATTACTTAATTCTTTATTTCCATCAAATAAATTATTCAATTTTATTCTCCCTTTACCCATTTTAGCTTTAATATTTATTTGTGAAAGTTTAAAATATTCTACGCCATTTTTTTCAATTCTGCCAACATCGAATTTTACTTTAGCTCTAATGTTAGCTGAAAAATAAAAAAAAAAATTTAAGCGAAAATTTATTAAATAATAATATTCAATTATATATATCGTTCATTTCTTGCAACAGTGGCATAACTCCAAAATATTCGATTTCTAAGGTATTTATAGGAAAATAAGCGTTTAAAGTATTTCTTTTTTTTGTTCAAAAACACAATTTTTTTTAGGTTGAAATGCTGTAACGGAAAAGAAATATGAACTCGTTTTTTTTCAAATATGCCAATTTTGAGTTATATCAGTGTTGCAGCAATTAAGCAATATGCAGACTGAATAGAATTCATATTCCGTTAGTCGTCTGATCACTTGTAGTGATTTGATATTATTAAAAAATACTTTGGTTTTCAATTACAAAAATTTTTTGAATAACAAACTAACTAACAGAGTGTGGGTGATTATCCTCATCTTATTACGAATTATAATATAATTATTTTAGTCAAATATACTTACAGAAACTACCATGAAAATCACCGCTTCCTTTTAATGGAAGTGCTAAAAGACGCCCTTCAACAGAATAAAATCCTTCAATTTCAAATCTTGGCAATAATAATTCAGCTGTTAAATGTCCAACAAAATTTTCGCTCCTACAAAATATAAATATACGAGTATAAAATATAAATGAAAATTTAAATTTATTTCTTCGAGATACGATATTTTTGATTTTTTTTATCAAGTTTAAGTTGTAAATCGAATCTTGAAATATCACTGTAGTTGACGTCGTATCTCAAGGAAACCGTGTATATTTATTAAATTTTTCAAATTTTTCTTACTTAAAATTGGTTATTTTAAAAGTTGTTGCATTGTAAACTCTAAGATTTTTTACAGATATATCAATACCAGTATCCTGTTTTTTTGATATCACTAAATCACCTAAATCTAATGGTTCCAGTGGTGGAATATTTAATTCTGGCATACCTTTAGCAATTTTTGGACGTAATATTTCAATTGCATTTACAAAACATTTATCAAAATTTAAATCACTTTTTCTACATACTTTTATATAATCAGCTATAAAATTTAATAAAATTTTTTTTTTTGCAGATTAAAATAATACTTATATAATATATATGGAATATTAAAGAAGCTTACGTAAAGGATTTAATTCACCAAATATTGATGAAAATACTGATAATATTAAAATATAAAATAGAAATTGTTGTGCCATATTCAAGTGAATGAGGAGCTGTAAATTAATGAAATATTTATATATTATATTTGAAAATATTTTATAAAATATTTTATAAAAATTTGAATTTATAAAATTTTTCAGTTTAAATAATTTGAATTCAATTTGGTAATATGTATAATTTGTGTTAATATTCCTTAATTTTGTTAATTTGATTTCAAATTAAAAATTTTAAGTATTTTAGTATTAATCGTAAATTTTAAATATGCTTAAATTTATTTAAAAAAAGAAAATATTCAATTATTTGTATACACTCGTGCATATTCATTTGTGCTAGATTTTTTTGAAATTAATTATCAAATTATACCTAATGTGATTTTCGATTATTATAATTTCGATATTATAAAAATTTTGGTTCGAACACAAAAAATATTTGAAAATTAATGTAACTTAATAATTTTGCGATATCGATTAGTTTATAAAAATTTTTATAATTTTTTGTAAGGAAATTAAATATTGTATTTTTATATACGAATAGAATTGTATTTTATATTTTGTAAATTGAGAAATTAATTGTGCTATAATTAATAAGAAAAATAATTTATGTTTGTATAGTGTTGATTAAAAATTATAAATTAATATTCAAAAATCCAGGTTCTTTCAGTGATATTTCTTAAAATGCCTAGTATTGCAAAATTAATATTTAAAAAGAGTTCTATTATGTGTGACTACAACCACTGTAAAACGCTCTATTTACTTAAGCGTGTTTCATAGCAATATCTTGTACGATTTAATTACCTAAAGATTATAACATCTCAACAAAATATTGATAAACTACAAGCATTGCACAACAAAGCAATTAAAAACTTGTACAATTTAGATATTAGAACATCAACCAGTAGTTTACGTAATGATTTCAATATTATTAAATTAAACTGTGCAATACAAACTTTTACAAGTTTTTCTTGTATATAAAATATAATTGATAAACATATTACAAGCAACGGCATCATATATACCAAGGAGCTGCAGCATGATTTAAGAATGACAAGTAAGTAATCTTAATATATACAGTGAATGCGTTCAATAATTCAATAAAATACCATCCATTGTTAAGTTACAAGAAAATATTGAATCATTTAAAAAAGAAACTAATCTTTTAATAATTAATATATATATATCAGTCTTCAGCATGTAATAAAAAAAAATAAATAGATAAATTTTTTTCCAATTCTTAATTTAATTAAAATAGTCGCTAGATTATCCTTGAAGGTTTATTATTTTTTTTTAAAGATCTTAATTTCTATTCCACACGTTTTATATTTAGTACATAATTAGTGTTATATGGGAGCACTCACTTGCGTTTTTAGTAATTAATATTATTAATAGATTAATAAATTTAACTAAAATTTTTTAACTTAGTTCAAGTTTAGTTTAAGAAAGTTAAAATTAAACTGATACTCAAATGATTTTTTGATCTTAATTTATATTAAAATAAATTTTCATTATTAAATTTCTCATCCAAAAACAATGATATTATAAATTTGTATACAATTTTTATTCATGTATATATATATATATATTATATATGTATATAATGATTTTAATTTAATTATTAATATTTCATAATAAATTATTTACGTTGGGTTATTTTAAAATTTTAAATAATAAAAAATAAAATGTAAATGCATAGCTATAATTATAATTAGAAAATCTAATTAAAAATTATTGGTCGCATTTTGCATGTATAATTGTTTGTTTCTTGCGAATATTGTTTAAATTGGAATGCCTAACATTTTTGATTAATTATAAATACTTTTAATATAGTGTGTAATATAATATTAGTTATGCATTATATTTGTGATTTTAATTTTAATGAGTAAATTATTATAAATAAAGTTTATAATAATTTTAGATGTGATTATAGGTCAATAAAATTTATGTAGAATATTATGTATTTTAAGGGTCCGCAATCGTTTTCGGACGGCGGGACATTTTTAAAATAAAATTTGGTGTGTGTTAAAGGGTGTGTGTTAAATTTTTTCACCAAGGAAGGTTTCACCATTTGTTAGCGCACATTTTTGCTAAAATTGTATTGGTTGTTTAGCAGGCCATGTGAAAAATTTTAAAGGCTCGCACGTGACTTGCGTGTTGCCGATCCCTGTTTATATGATTCAATAATGGCAATATTGAATTTTATGGTCATTATTATCGTACAAAAAAATACATACTTACATGTATTTAATTAATTTCAGAAATTTTTTATGAATTACTTTTTTGAGTTCGTTACTTAAAATAGAACCAAATAATTCTATATGGTCCATTGTTTCAACAATAAGTAATTTTGATTAAATTCAGCTCGGCCAACAATTACTTAGGATGGGTTAAAGAAACTCTCTTTAAATGGTAAAATAATAGATTCTTAATTAAATTCAAATATAAGATACAAACATCAAGTTGCAAAAAATCGTAAGCAAAAATTTTTTTTAAATTTTTTTGCTTTTATTTGCTTTTCCACAAAAAGCAGAACTGTCAAGTTTTTATAAAGTTTAATATCATGTATTGATTTTAGCAAAAATAGTTTTTTTTTTAACTATAATAATCTAAAACTTAAGTATATAAATTACAAAATTGTTTAATTTGTTTTGCATCTTCTACTCCTCTTAATTTATTTGAATAAATTAATTCTAATAGGTATACATAGTATAACAATTGTAAAGGTGTTATATTGGTTATTCTGAATTTATTAAGCCATAATTAATAATTGCACTTTGTAGTTTTAAAGCTTCTTAGAAGAGAAAAAAGTATGACAATAAAGAGAAAATATAATATTTAATTGAATATTAATGGATTCAAGTGAAAATCTTCATTTTAGTAAATTGTTAATTTAAGAAAGCGAATGATTTTGCTAATTTAAAAATTAAAATATTAAATTTGAATTGAATTTATTTTTGTTTTATTAATAAAATAATTTTGTAGAAGAAAACTTTTTTTCACGTGGGTTGTTCCAATGAAAATTTGTTTCTTAATTAATTTTTTACAAAAAACAAAATAAAACATATTTTATTAATTAATACTGTTAATAAGGAACAAAAAAATGTTAGTTTAACGGTTTCATTTACAAATACAACGGTACAAAATGTTAATGTCATAGTTTAAATTCATTTTCAAATACTATATAAAAATCAGATGAAGGTTCAATTTTAATACGGTTACCTTATAATATTGTGCAGTTTTAAAAATCCAATCCAATTCTGCAAGCTTGTAACTGATCTGTATTCGCATTCTGCCTTGGTAATTGAAAAAATGAAGTCCTCTTTAAATTGCATCCATTTCAAACGAAGATAAAAATGAATATTTTCCACAGCAAACCTTTGATTATAACCTTACATAATAATTTTTTAGTAATTGAGGGTTGTATGGGAGAGGAGAGAAATTTCTATAATAATTATACAAAATTACGATAATAGCCAGTTTTCTACTATTAAACTAGCTAGCATTCGTTCATTACAAAGCTTACATTATGTTATTTCACTCAAACCCTACATTTTTCAAATTTTTAAATAATATGTACATATACAGTCGCATAAACATATACTAATATCTATTTCAAAAAAAAGGTACATTTTTTTCCATTATAGAAAGAAATTTAAATAATCGCATGTCTATATGTCCTTAATTTACATTTGTACTCTTGCATACCAATTAAACATATTTAACTAAATTAATATAGTATAGACTAATTTTATAAATCAAAAATATTTAAATTATAAAATTAATTGCATGTTGCTTTAATTAATTGCATCTCTTTTCTCTTTTTATCTGTTATAAATTTATTGTATATATTGCAAGCATTAAAGTTATAAACTTTTAAAACAACCATAAGCGTACTAATTAAATATGATAATTAAAACATTAAATTTATTAAATAAAAGATTTAAAAACGTTTTCCAGAAGTTCATGTTTTTAAATTATTATACAAATTAGTTCAGAATATGGTTCAGAATATAGAACCTGAAAATGATTACTCATTTTACGATATTGATTATCGTAAATTAATTATTATTAAAACTTTAGAATATTGTCATTATTTTCTCTTATTATTTTAATTATTATTTTAATTAATAATTGATTTTAACGCATTATTTTAATTATTAATTGAAAATTGTAATACAAATAAATCTTTAAATTTCAACATTTGGAATAGTATTTTAAATTTTAGTTCTCAATTTTTGTACTTTGATCATAAATACAAAAATAATTTATTCATTCCGATTTTATTATTCAATTATTTATTAATCACGTTTTTATCAGCTCATTAATGTTTCTCATTTGTTATACGATAAATATTGTTATACATATTATATGATATTATGAATATGTATAATGACAAGTTGCCGGGAAATTAATAAAGTGAAAGATATTTAAAATATTTAAATAAAATTTTATTGAAATTAATAATAATAAAATAAAGAAAATCTATTTTAATTAAAATTTTATTGGAAATTTTCTGCTATAATAGAAAATTATATTTGGTTTTCTACAATTTTGTATGATGTTTTTTAAAATTATTAAATATAACAGAATACAGCGTATATATTATAATTGTTGTCGGATTTAGTCTCTAATTTTGAAATAAATTTTGTTCCTTGTAATAAACCTTTTGCAGGCAAATTGCCCCGCAAATTCTTTGGAAACTCTCTCATATCCCTTTTTGACGACATCCAGAGGCAACATTCATAGTGCAAAAAATCTTTTAATGTTTTTGCGAAATTTGGGGCTTTTTTCCATATTTGACTTTATAATAGTTTTATGTGCTGCACCGTTTTTTACAAAGTGAAGGTAAAATGGTTTCGGAGTAACCGCGAATGCCCCGTCTGCCCTCCAAATATCGGATCTTCAGGCATGTCCGAAGATTTTCTGATATCTCCTGTAGAGACATTCCAAACGTCACACCTATAATCACCTGTACTAATGCCATATATATTTATCAGCTTGGTGGCCTGATTGTTTTGCACAGCTTTATTAAATAATACTCGGTTACTATACAGTTTACTCGTTTTATTTTACACTTATAAATTTTTTTAGAACTTAAGAATTTTATAACTTTACACTTTTAACGCAAAAATCGATAAAGAGAAAGAGTTTTTTTATTTACAATAGGCGACATTAGAGAAACATTTAAAATTAACACATACTTAAATCAGAATCAGAGAATGCATTCATAAATCATACAAATAATAATTAGGTTACATTACAGTTACCACTGAATACACACTCGATCTCTACCTACATACTGACCCTACATACGTACCTATGTATGAATCATGCTCTCGATCATCTTTTTTTTCAATTTACTTATTTTATTCTAATGAGATGAAACTGGAAAAAATGAGAGAATGGAAAAGCGATTGAGGCAAGACAAATTTTGATATTTTTTTGTTTGAAAATGGCTTTATTTTAGAAAAAGGTAGTAAAATCCTAATATTTCTGGAATTTCTTCCATGACTTATTGACCAAAAACGGACTAAGTGTCCGTGAGTTGTAAATTTATGTAAGTAATACAAAACTTTTGAAATAATTTATACAAAATAATACAAACACAGAAAAATATTTCAATCTCGACACAAAAATTTTAATAAATTTTGGGTAATGTTGGCGGTGGTTTGTTCAATGAACGCCGAGCTCTTATTGGTCTTGGAGGTGGAGTTGGTTTTGGTTTATAAACCAATGTTTGAAAATTTTGCGGTGATCTTTTTTCTCTTCTTATTTCTTCTGATTTTCTTTCAGTTTCGTGTTCTAAATAATCTTCATCATTTTGATCAAATGAACGACGAACTCTTATTGGCCTTGGAGGTGGAGTTGGAGGTGGTCTGTAAACCAATGTTTGAAAGCTTTGTGGTGACCTTTTTTCTCTCATTAGCTCCATCAAATTTGGCACTTGTTGTTCTTCTGATTCTATGGAGACGTTATCATTTTCATCTTGAATTGAAACTTTTTCATCATCTAAAATAATTTCATCGTTTGATCGACGTGCTCTCATGGGTTTTGGTGGCGGTGGAGGTGGTCTTCTATATTCCAATGTTTGAAAACGTTGGGGTGAACGTTTCTCTCTTTGTATTTCAAAAGCTTCTAATATATTTTCAGTATAACTGTTAAAGTTTTCCAGTTCTACACAAATAACTGAAGTAACTGTTATTAACAATAAACTTAACAAAATTTTCATTTTGATTTTTAAAGTTATTTTCTATTCAAATTATTAAAATTAATTAAACATAAAAATTTATAATTCACTTCTTCTTATATACAAAAAAAAATTATTATACAGTATCTATGAAAAAACAAACTATAAGAGATGCAGTAAAAAAAAAATTCCCGTGTTATTTGACCCTATGCTATAATCGTTGGTATTTTTAAGAAAAAATATTTTTAATTTAAAAAAAATATTGCTGTTTTTTTAAATGTTTCAAATAAAAGTTTTTAAAAAATCCGAAATTAAATAGTACATATTCAAAATTCATGTGAATATGAGTTGTTACTGTTTTTAGAAATTCATTTTTTGTTAAGGGCGCATATTGCAGTATGTGCCTCCGTCACCAGGGCGGGTGTTCTGGAGATGGATAGAATTAATATGGGAGGAGCTTGAGAGATCGTAAGAAGCAGAGATCGCGGGGGAGCGGAGACCGTTTTTGCGTTTCACCAGCGATGACATGATTAGAAGTTGCAACTCTGGGAAAAAATTTTAATTCAAAATTGGACAACAGGAGGGACTAGAGGAGTGAATTCTTGAGCTACCCGATGAGATCGCACACCATAAAATGGCACATTAACGGGTCGAGAACCTCGTTGGGAACTGGAACCTGAGTATATAAACCAAGAACGAGGTACTTTGAACTAATGGGAACGTATGCGAGTCTTCCAGGTAGAGGTGTACGCAATTGATAAATGTGTGTAAGGGAGAATTCAGTTCCTGTTTGGTGACCTACAGAGTGGTGTGCGACTGTGTTGGTAGGTTTGATGAGTTAGGCAGGCCGCATTCCGTTACTTTGTTTGAGGCGGCCAACAAACCCCTTAAGGAGACGGAACTGTTTTGTGGAAATCTACTACAGTTGATCTGGGAGAAGATCAGGAAAGAAGTAAAAGGAATGAGATCGAAGGCATGGACCTTTCGATCCTGAAGGTTTTGCGGAGAGAGGTAGGTTAAGGAGCTTCTTGGCAATTATGACCAGAAGCGATATAGGAAAGCAATAGAAATGGGTAAGATCTAGCGGAATACCACCAACTCCGGGATCACGTGAGAAAATGGAGGCGACTTCGACGTATCCCTTGGTGAGAACTGCGAAAAATGGATCCACGCAAGATAGTCGAATTTGTTAGAAGGAAGGGTCTTGAGAGAGGGCTTGAGGGGCACAATAGATTCCTGGATCGCCGTGCCTTACCTAATCTAATTAGCATTATATAATATACGTTTTAAAGACGATGTGAATTTAAATTTTATGGGCAAATTTGAGATATTAAGTTTCATTACTATTTGATGCATATATTTGTAAGATTATGTTAATTTATTTTTTAAGAATTTTGGAAATTTAATAAACATATTACATATGCACATATATATCTGGAACAGTGATTTGATTTGAAAAAATATTCGCCTGTCACTTGTCTATTTACTTTATTGTTATTTTCGTTCTTGTAGCTTAGAATGGCTTAAGATCGTTTACTTTTTATTTATAACATTCAATATTATTTCAGAGTAATATCTTTAACTTTATTGCATACGAGAGCATAAAATAAATTTTAATTTTAATTTTTTACATCATATACTGATAACCCGCTCAAAATCTATATATTTATTGATATTATAGTGCAAGCGTACCTTATATATTTATAATATTTTGTAGATACATTGTATACATAACAGAATATTATTACTATAATTTTCTTACGTGACCTACACTGTTGCTTGCAATGAACTTTTAATAAACATATGTTTTTCATTTTATAAATGATAGGGGATTTTTTTCGCGAAATTTTTAAAAACGTAGGAATATACGTATGTATATTGTCTGTTCATACGTATATAGTCCGTGTTTCCATAAATATGGCTTTTTTACGTATAAATTTTATATTATCTCATAAAACAAACAAAATCGACTATAGGATTCCCCTTGATAAAGAATAGAGTATATGTACACATAATATAATATTTTGTGGCAAATATATTTTTTACATAATTACTAATATATATATATGGAATAAAAAGATTATTGTTAATATTCCATATAAAAATTAATGTAAACAATTGTAAATTGTAAGAAATTCAAATTTATCTACAAGAAAACGTACTTAGATAATTCGCAGAATAGAAAAATCCCCAATGAATACAAGTAATTTCTCAAATAAAAAAGTATAAAAATTGAATGAACGGATTCCATAAGTATCACATTTAAAATTTCACTTAAACAATCAATTTAATATTTTTAAATTAAACTTTTATACCTATTACAAATTCAAAAAAATAAAATAACAAAAATGGCAAATAAAATTACAATTTTTGGTTGTACATTATTAGTTTTATTAGTTGTAAACTTTATTAATGCACAACAACCACAATTTAATTTCAATCCACCAAAACAACAAGCTAATGATAATTTTAAATTATTTGGCAATGGTGGGGGTTCACCAAAACAAGGATTTGATTTAAATCTTGGTGCACAGGCTAAAATATGGGAAAGTCAAAATGGAAGAAATACATTACATGGTACAGGTACTTATTCACAACACTTAGGTGGACCATATGGCAATAGTAGACCAAATTATGGTGGCGGTTTAAGCTTTACGCATCGCTTTTAAATGATAACGAATATTTTTTTGTAAAAAGATTATGTATGTAAAATTATGTATGATTGTTAAATTATGTCTTTATAAATATTGTATTTTTTAAAAGTATTATTAAAAAATAATAAATTTATTGGATTTCAAAAGTCAAGTTTGGGAGTTTTGATTTACTTATACATATACCATCATAATCGGTAGCAGAAGCGTATACTCAATTATGTGAAATACTCTGAAAAGTCAAAATAATAATATTAAAGAACCTTAGACCAAATTTGATATTCATTCACCTTTCAGAGCCCCAATTGCAGCAATAACTTGTACTTTTGCTTTTTGATTTTGTGCGGGAGAAAATTTAATTAAAATTGAAATAATTATACACACATTAATTCTGTAAAGTTAGCAAAAATATGCCTAAAAATTACAATTTTATATGAAAGACCAACCAAAATTAATAGAATTTTAAGTTAATTACGTCAAACATTTTGTTTGTGATAAGTGGACAGTTAAGGATATTGATTTAATTTACAGATTTTGTAACAAAAAAGCGAGTTCTTGATGACTATTGCGAATCCCAATTGATGACTATTGCGAATTTCTTCACGGTTCACTGCCCAGTGAAGTACCACCTGCATAGGCTGGGGAAGTCGGGCACCCCCCTGTGCAGATTTTGTGGGGCGGCGATGAGACCGCCGTACACCTTCTCTGCGACTGTCCGGCACTGGCTGTTCGGCGCAGCAATTGTCTCGGCCATGGGCTCCTAAGTGTTCGGGAACTGTTGTCCAACTCCCTTAGGGATATCTCCGGCTTTGTGGTTGGGACGGGGATATTATAGGCGGGAGTGTAGGGAGGCTACAATAAGTCAAAAATGGCTGCGGTGGCTTGGGGGGTTACTCCTATCCCACTCGGTTCCCTTGGAATCTACAATCTACAACAAAAAAGCGACGACCGTGTAATAGGATTATCGTAAAAGGGGTCTTGGTCGTCGCATTACAAATTGCCAGACATTTAGTAATTTGGACAGCCGAATTTGTGAGACTGATCACCTTTAACCAAGATGTAGTTGACAACTTTTACCTTCAAAGGAGGCGTGCAACATAAAATCGAAATACAGGAAAGAGTAGGAAACAATATCCAAAAGTCTTACTTTGGGTAGACTTCTCTCTAAAACTAAAGGTCAGATACAATTAATTGTAAGAATAACAATAAAGATCCACCCCACATTCAGTTTTTTAGCTGTAAATTCATCAAAAATCACCTGCAAAAATATTTGCAATCTTAAACGGGGTACCTATATACTGGTATAGTGAAATTGCTCCAATTTATTACTGATTTTCAATAGCGATTTTAATATTTTTCAGTGGCGAATTTTGATAAAAAAAATTTGTTTGAGAAGAAAGCAGTATAAGCAAGATTTTTTCTTATGCTGCTCTGAACAATTTGTACAAAGTAACGAAATATTTTTGGAGTTAAAACACAAACTAATTTACTTTTATTTGAGAAATTAAAAACCAATGGTCATTATGTATGAAGATATGTACATTAATAATTGATTATAGCATTAATACTACATATTTCTCTTTACGTACCGTAAAGTACGATCATACAGCTAGAGTACCTGTAATACATGTGGAATCTGTCATTTACCTATACAAAATGTCAGTATAAAAAAAATTGTTTATTTTAATCAAACACGGCATCTTTATTTCATTTCAAAATCAGAATAATTTAATACTTTTTACAATAAATAAAGAACAATCTAAAGAATTTTAACCAAATTTATGTATAAATGTTGCTCCACCGCCAACATTTGGTCTACTATTTCCATATGGTCCACCTAAATGTTGTGAATAAGTTCTGGTGCCAAACAATTGATTTCTTCCATTTGGACTTTCCCATACTTTAGCAGTTGCACCAAGTCCTACATCAAATCCTTGTTTTGGTGAACCACCACCACCACCAAACAATTTAAAATTGTTATTAGCCGGTTGTAATGGAGGTGGTTGAAAAACATTTGGAGGGTTTGCAATATTCATGTGCGCTGGTGATTGGAAGTTATTTTGTGGTTTCGGTTGCAAAAAATTGAACTGTGCACTAATGATTTCTATATTCACAAGTACTAATAATGCACAAGTTAAAGTTGAAAATGTTTTTAATTCCATTTTTGCGTAATGAGTAATTTTGATTTCAATTTACTTTAAGATTTGATATTTTAGAATCTATTATAATACAATTTGTATGAATGAAGTTTGACTGATTTAATCTCAGTAATGTCATGCTATTTTATACTGATTCGAAAGTACGGATTTTTATGATTTGTAGGGGATTTTTCTTAAATAAAAAAGCGGACCATCTTTTCTTTGTTTTAAATTAAGAAAAATAAAACAGCACCGCACTCAAGATACATTAAAAGAGGGTATTAACAGGTTTTCTTTTTTGTTTTTGTTTTGAATCTCTACTTGATGCTTCGAATTATCTCTACTTTTTAATATTTTCAATTATCTTCGTCTTGTCCTTTACACATTTTTCTTAGCATTTTTCAAAAAATCCCCTATAAATTTTATGAAAAAGAAAACTTTTTTGAAATAGTATAAAATAGCAAAGTGTAAGTGAGATTAAGTCAGTCAATTTTCAACACAACAATTATAAATTTGAAATTTGTAAAATTTATTTATCATTAAATATAAAAAAAATGGAATTTAAAACATTTTCAATTTTAACTTGTGCATTATTAGTACTTTTGAATATAGAAATCATTAGTGCACAAGTTAATTTTCTACAGCAACCAAAACCACTTAATTTGGATCTACCAAAACCACAATATGATTTCAAGTTACCACAAAAATTCAATTTTGATATTCCAAAAACTCCAGATACTTTTTAGCCACCTAAACCACAATTCAATTTTAGTCCTCCAAAACCGGCTAATGATAATTTTAAATTATTTGGTAATGGTGGTGGTTCATCAAAACAAGGATTTGATGTAAATCTTGGTGGAGCAGCTAAAGTATGGGAAAGTCAAAATGGGAGAAACCAATTGTTTGGCACTGGAACTTATTCACAACATTTAGGTGGACCATATGGAAATAGCAGACCAAATGTTGGCGGTGGAGCAACATTTATACATAAATTTGGTTAAAATTTTTTAGATGTTTCTTTAATTATTGTAAAAAGTATTAAATTATTATGATTATGAAATAAAATAAATGGATGTGTTTGATAAAGGAAAAAAAAATTTTTATTTTAACATTTTGTATAAGACTTATTTCTACAGGTGTGAGCACTGACCAATAGTGCAATGGTTATTGCACTGGTCCTTTAACAAAAGGATCTTTGGTTCAAAGCCGAGTCAGGTTACTATAAAAATTATATTCAATATTATATAGCTGTGTACACATTACATATATAAATAAAAAATTAATATTAATTAATTGCCATATTTCAATAATATCCAATATTATATAATTATACCAGCAAAATAAAATAGTAAATATCAATATCCTTAAATATTTAATATAAAACTACGGTCAGCTTGTCACAAACAGGTACCATGAAGTTTATGATTTTTGTTTACGGTATAATTTCATTTAGACTATATAGTGAAATTTGTAAATTTTGATAGATGCGACAAATTGGCCTAGTTTTCGGATTCAAAAATTTTTATTTAAGATTGACTCTTGCTTGGTATTTATAACACAAGGTATCTATTATATCACATTTTTTATATAGCCCTCTTACGTACTATGTGTGTACGTACTATATATAGTATATTATATAATTTAAAATATTTTTACAACCATTTACATTGTTATTGCCTTTTTTTACTTCTTTTTTGCTGCTCCTTGAAGATTTTTATTATCGAATTTTCCTAATAATACTTGCAATTAATTTTAGAAAGCAATTTCAACTGCTCAGCTTGTCCCTTTTGATCATATTTTAATTTTATTAAATCTGTATCTTCTTCTTCTTCCTCTGCCTCCTTGCTTTCGAATGTTTGCGGTCTTTATACACACATTATTTTAATGACACTGTTGAAAATTTCTTTGCATTTTTCTTGGTCTCCAGAAGATTTTATTAGAACTGGCAAATTTCTCAAACCTATCCAGTTTCTAATGTTTCTTAGCCATGAAATTTGTTTTCTCCCGATTCCTCTTTTGCCTTGAATTTTGCGCTGTTTGTAACATGTCCGAAATATGCTTCTTTTCGGCGCTTGATGGTGATAACTAACTCACACTCTTTATTCTTCTCAGTACTTCAGCATTGGACATCAAGGATTTCTTCTCAGTACTTCGGCATGTCTACTCCAGGAATTTTCAGAACTCTGTGGTTCTATTCATTTTGGCTACTTTCAGAGTCCATGTTTCTATTCCATACAACAATATAGACCATACGTAACATTTCACGAATCTGAATTTTAGTGCTATGTCGAAATCATGAATGGTAAAACTTTTTTGAATTGAAAGAACATCCCTCTGGCAACTTAGTTTCTTAACAAAGTTTGTAAATCTTCGATACTGCCAGCTATTAACGTGGTATCATCTGCGTGTCTGATGTTTTTAATTTTGATACCGTTAACCTTGATACCTTCTTCTACATCACTGATTGCTTCTTCTAATATGTTTCCTGAATAGATGTTGAAAAGTAGAGGTAAGTAGATGTCTCTTGTACCCTGCTTTGAAACCAAATGTGCATATTTGTACATAGGCGGTCGACAATGTATCATACTTCTTTGATTCTTTTAACTTCGGGGATTTTTAACAAAAAATTTTCTTTTCAAATACGATAAGAAAAAAAACGCGATGTTTTTCGGTTTTTTTATTCTTCAAGTTTTTGAGGTCAAACATAATTTTGCTCTCAATTTTAAAAATAATAATGGCAATAATTAATAATCAATTTTCAAAGATTTTAATAAGAACTCTGAAGAATTCCCCCGATAATATGAATTGAAATTATATAAGAAAATTAATTTTTAGATTTTTTTTGTTTTCAAGAAAAAATTCCCTACTTTATAGTTTCGCAAAAGAGAGTCACTTTGTAATTTTTGTATATAAATTAAATGAATTTGGAAAATAAATATCAATATTACTTGAATATTACTTAAGTAATTACAAAAATTATTTATTTAAAAAAAATTAAAATTCTAAAATAAAAAAAAATGGCAAAAACAATTTGTACAATATTCGCTTTTGCATTACTCGTAGTGAGCTATGTAGTAAATGTTAATAGTCAACAACCACCGAAATTCAATTTTGATCCGCCAAAACAACCAAATAATGATTTTAAAGTATTTGGTGGTGGTGGCGGTTCATCAAAACAAGGATTAGATTTAAATCTTGGTGCACAAACTAAATTGTGGGAAAGTCAAAATGGAAGAAATACATTACATGGTACCGGTACTTATTCACAACATTTAGGCGGACCATATGGAAATAGTAAACCAAATTTTGGCGGTGGAGTGACATTTACACATCATTTTGGTTAATAACACAAATTCATGATATTTTTATAAGATAAATTTAAGAAATGTATTTATGAATAAAAGATATTATTTTTGAAATTTTTAATTTAATTTGTTTTAATTGTAATATATTACATTTATAATCGATTGCGGAAACGTGGGATGGGTTGTAGCGTTGTGCAATATTTTTAATAGCATTTAAGAAATTATTTAGGCTGCAATACTAAATCGTAATTATGTTTAAATCAATTTAATTAAAACACAATCATCTTCGAAATATTTAGCTGAAATTTTTTATAAGAATCTACACTTCCAACAGCATCTTTATAAAAATTCTCAAATTAATGGCAAATATTCGTTCAGAAGTCACAGATTGAACACAATCAATTCCAGATATCGTTTTTAATTTGCTTCAATTGTTTTAAAAGTGAGGTCATGGACAAATATACCGCCGTTAGAATTCTTCATCTCATGTACCTTACAAAATTTTCTCGTTTCTACTCATATTTTATACATTAAAATTATTAAGTGTTAATATGTATATAAATTAAAATGAATTTGTTAGTGGATTCCCTGAGTAGTTTTTTTTTCTTCAATTTCAATGAATTTTTTTTGATTTTTAGTGACTGATTTTTATATACGCGCAAGCTTTTTACTTTCATCGATCAGAAGAATTTCGTAAGGTGAATGAAAGATGAACGCATGAGAGTAGAAAAAAAGTTATTCAATAACGCTTATCATATTCAAGCATATTCAAGCACAAACAAACGTTTTTTTGTTTTTGATAATCTTATAATCTTATGTTTTTTGTATTCCTTTTCATAGCAAAAACCGGTTAAATTTTACATTTAAACGTCAGTTAAATTTTGCAATTAATTTTTTGTATATATTTAAAATAATATTTTATACTACTAAAGTTGAGATAGAGAAGAAAATCATCCGGATGTGATTGTGCCACAACAATCACAAATACTGTAAAACTTTGAATTTTTAATTCTAAGTTTTTAGCATATTTTATTTTTGAGCTTTTAGGAAAGTTTAAAGTGCTTTTACGATAAAGTTTAAGCTTTTTAAAAAAATGAATCAACACGAATAGAGCAGATTTCAGGTGCGTCGTATCGAAAGCTTTTAAAATTGAGTTACGTTCGATTATTAATTTTTTCTTGAATAAACTTTTCAGAATATTAATGATTTGGGAATAAACATAAATATACATATATATAAACGAACGGGAGCGAATTAAGAATCGGCGAAAAGAATTTTCATTATTCATACTAGAAGTAGCACTGAAAGGCCACTTTTAAACTGCGAATGTAAAGGTTGCTCATTAACAATTTGTAAATTTAATTTACTAGAATAAGACATTTTTGCTTGTTGACGCGGTTCTGAAGAAGCAAAAGTGCTCTCAATGAGTTGTGATAATAGTTGAGGCTTGAAATATACATATATAAGTTGGCAAAATAATTTAGCAATTTGTCAAGATTTTTTAAGCGCCTATATGATATGCCTATATGACATGTTAGTATTATAAACCATACTAAATAAAACCATTGTGTATACATTATAGCTTATACAGAAGACAATTTTTGTAATTACACAATAGAACTTAATAGTCCCCAGCACCTCTCAAAAAAGTCTGTATAGCGCTATAAACTATATACACAATGATAAAACTGAAGAGAAAGCATTATAAATTCGCCCGTCCGCCCATCTTCTCGCCTATCCCAACGATAACCTGTCACCTGTCCCAATTGAGTTAGGCTCACCAAATTTTGATAAACGATTTATAATACTAAATGGCGGAGCTCTATTTAATTTGGAGGTAATTAAGGTAGTAGTTCAGATGGCTGCTTTAAAACTTAAAAAGTTATTTGACTATATCCCAGAAAATATTCAATAACATCAACATTTTGCACGAGCAAATATATTATGGGGGCTGTTGTGCTTGATAAAAATTGTTGAAATTTCTTGACTCGTGATGGTAACTGCTATACGACTTTGAATGTTATATGGTCTATAAAAACTATACTGAAATTACATTTCTCTGTATAGTCTATACTTAAATTACTCAGAATTTATTGAGTTCATAGTGAGAGGTTATAGCCTATCTAAATACGCCAGTATGTACATATGCACATTATAAAGTACATATGTATGTATGTACATACATACATACATAATATAAATAACATTTTATACTAAACGAAATATGTAGTACACCATATACATTTTTGAAAAAATAGAGTGTGTAAGAACTTAATGATTATTGTATTGCTTTTAAGAAGCGGGAAATTCCCTGTTTTATAAATTACAGTTATAATATTATAAACATTTTTATTTACAGACTTTCAATCTATACTGCATAAAATTATTTTTTAATATTTTTCTAAGAAAACTATATGAAAGCTGTATTGATTTTCTAGTTGAATTGATAAAGATTTGGGAATGTAAAATGTTTACACTTAAATAATTTATTAAACAACGTGAAGTTTTGATAAGGTAAAAGTAGAATTACCTACAGTGTAGGGTTCTTAATAGAGTGTAAGGAAATCTAGTGTTAAGCGATATTATTTACAATATAAAAATTGTGAAATATAAAAAATTATGGATTTTACATTTAGATTCAAAGATTGTGGTAGCGAAATATATAACATTAATAGCAATATAATAAGCTTTATTGTTACAATTAAATCGTAATATACTTTGGACTATGTTTGTATATTATAACCAGGCTTGGTTCTGGCTTGTTCGGCACCCTACGCAGTGACTATAAAGTTCGCCACCTCCCCCGCTTTCAAAGAAGTGATTAATATTCGATAAACATTGTACATTAATGCATAATAAATCTTTTTATTGTAACTTCGTATAATGCTTGTAACCTCATCAATGCAAGATTAGTCATAGAATTAAAGCCTCGAGTTAAAATTTCATATTTTTTTTCAGTGTTTGTATCCAGATACAAGATATCGTCAAGGTAGTCGTAATGTAGGTGTAAATTTAAAAAAAAAATTTTTTGAAAAACACATATTGGAAAAAATTTAGTCTTGTTTTTTAAGTTTTCAATGACGCCCTATTTCCGGTGCTGTTTGCAAATGTTTACTTTGCATATATGATAGATCCGACGTTGATCGTACCTTTATAAATACATTGTAACTGCAGTATAATATTTTGCTTTCTGTTTGATTGAATAATATGTGTATATGTATACAAAATTTTTATTATTTATTTTTTACTTCCGATATCTTTTTAGATAAGAAATTGTGTTAGTCTAATCAAAAAGAAAGTATAAAAGGTGTAGTACATATAATTGACATATCGCATAATTAATTTACATTCGAGTCGATTAATAAGTTATATAAAAAAAAAACTTTATTTAAAAATGGGATTCGGAAAGAAAATTAGGAAAGCACTTTTTGGGGGTAAACCTAAAGGACCTGGTCTTACTGTTTGGCAAAGTCAAAATCAAGCTACTACTGTTGGTGTAAGCCCAAATTGTATCCATGTGAGATCAAATTTATAACAGAAAAACAATTGGAAGAAGAACGATTAGAAGCTGCTCCCATCTGCAAAATTATTTATATTTAATAATAAATTGTGAAATTAATATGACAAAGGAATAAAAAACAAAAAGCTTCAACTTAATTTTTATTATTTTAAAGCATTTTAATGAAGAGCATTAATAATTATTTCAAATATTATTGGGTGCTTTTTAAGATTTTTAAAAAATTTTGTTTTCCTATACAATTTTAAAATATTTTGTTAAAAATATGATAAAAAATCTTTTTAAAATTGAGTTTTTAAATTTACTTTGCACATTTCACAAGGCTACTCGAGTATTATCTTGTCATTAGTCACACCAGAGCCTCAAATTGAGTAAAACAAATAGAGAAAACTATTGAAATATTTTTCTTAATGGAGTCAAATATCAATTGACTAATTTAGTTAAATGAAGCAGAAATTGAAGAAAGCCATAAATTATTTAATTTATCTGGATAGTGTTGAAATTACGTAATATGCATAAGTATTTGTTAGTTACTTGTGATATTTTTATCTTATACTTATTATAAAATTTCGTATATACTTAAAGTACTATTTTTGACATTTAAAAAATTTAATATGGTGAATAACCGCACACATGAATAACTAATAGCATTTACAATTGAATAGTGTAAGTATGTGAAAAAATCCCCGAATTTTTCTCTTTTTTCTTATACTTATATTTATGTTGCTACTTAGGCATTGATAAAATATCCATATTAGAATAAAAGTGTATAAATAGCGAAGAAATTATTGTTCAAATATCATAAAAAATATTTAATTCGTGCAATTAATAACTTCTTTAACAGATAAAAAAATTATATAAATATGTCAAATAAACCAGAAACAATTCCACCTCAATCTGATACAAAAATTTTTGGTGGCGGTGGTGGATCCGGAAAAACTGGATATGATGTAGCACTTGGTGTTCAAACTAAACTTTGGGAAAGCCAAAATAAATCTACTTCTATACATGGAACTGCAACATATGCTCAACATTTGGGTGGACCATATGGAAATAGTAAACCAAATTATGGTGGTGGTATTGGTGTCAGATTTAATTTTTAAAGGAGAAGATTTTAATCCTACCAAGAGAAAAATATGTGGCTGTATACATTTTAAAAAGCATATTTAAAAACATAACACAAACCTAATACTGAAAATAAATTGATAAAATTTTAAAATTGAATAATTTTTTTGCTTTCATGTGCGTATTGTGCTTATTAAATTAGTAGATTAAAAAAATTTAATAACTAGTTTATAATATTAACATATTCAAACACGCTTGGTATAATTAACATTTCAAATAAAATAATAGTTTGATTTCCGTATCAGTGAACAACGATTTTAAGTGCACTTTTGAGGAATCTATCTGAATCCGCTATGTAAGTCTTTGATATTTCGTCTAGCTTTCTTTGCCCCACGTGGGCACACTACCCCTGCCCAGAAGCGGACACTCGCAGGGATAGTGAAAAATGGTGTCCTTCTTGTCCACTTCTTGATAGCTGCGACATGCCGTATTGAAGAGAAATACTAGCCTACATATACCTACGTACATTTTAAAGGAGAATGCGTTTAGTTCACATAAAAGGAACTCAAAATAGTAATGATACTTAAAGTAATTTTATTTAAAATATAATTTTTATTTTAAACATTTTTCAAAAACCATTTCCTCAACAAAATAAAACATCATTTAAATAAATCATAAAATTATATATGTACAATTATTTATTGTTCAACTTTTGCTGCCGTATTTTTATTGCGATAATTTCCTTTTGCTTCTGAAACACAAATTCGAACTTGTTCAATTAACCATTGTACACCATCTTCTAAACCTTCACCTGTTAATGCATTACTTGAACTGATATGCCATGGTTTATCATAAATAACTTCTAAACTAAGTGCTTTTTTATGAAATTTTAAGTGATTGTACAGCAAAAAGGTGGTTAGAATTATGGACACATATGTAAAGAAAAAGAAAAATTCATTAATATTTTATTTTAGAGTATCTAGCTAAATTTTAAATATTTTCTAAAAACATTTTTACATATAAAAATTTTGTAGATTCGGGTCGAATATACTTATAAGCGGCCTTATTTATTAAAATGAAACTATTACAGGAGAATGAAAGGATGAAATATTATTGAATAAAATGGGATTCTGACAGTCAAAATTGTTTACTTTGAAAATCGCATTTTGTTAGAACTATTATCTGGAATTATAAACAATCTGATGGTAACAGCCCAAGCTAAAGCACTTCTCTTGTTATGAGGCTTTTAGGTTCTCCTCACGTCGACCCATATTACGTTTTGTGATTCCCTTCCCCGCTTTAATTAGCACTATATATAGACGTCTGACAAATGGCTGTATAAAAGCTACCTCAAGCTATGAAACCTCCATCGAGGTCATGAAGCCACTTCTTTAGTATTTTTATTATAGGACAACGACCGCCTCGTAATTGCGCAATAAATGCCCGGCCTCCATCATTTCGTCATCTTCCAGGCAAAGATGACAGACATCGCCCTCCACCTTGTTTTTCATTGGAAAATTTTTTGGACTGTGACAGGCTCTGAAATCGCCTCAAAGATCGACAGTGGTTCATTTCTCCCAACCATTCAATTTCAATTGGTTTCAGTACCTCAAAATATGGTTCCGACTCAATGAAAAGCTATCCGGACGAGCCCATCAGCTCATTTGCATCTATGTCGTAATGTTCCGACGTACTACTTGTACTCGTAAGTAACAACTACTAGAGTCACACAGAAAAATTGTAATTCATGCATTTATTAATGAAATTAGAATTTAAGAACTTACCAGATGCTATTTTAACACTTGATAATGCATCACAACAATCCATTTTATTTGCAAAAAATAAAATTGGAAGTTTTCTGTTTATTATATCAGGATGTTGTAGTAAAATTTCCAGTTCATCTTTAACAACAACTATAAATTTATGTGGGTGCACATGATCATAAAAATAAACATAATGAAATATTTTTGCGCCTCTACTTTAAAACATTAACTGTGAATAAATATCATAAATAAATCATACCTAAACGCATCCGATCACTTGAATCAATTACGAAAACAATTCCCTGGCACGTTTTAAAATGATGTTCCCATAAACTTCTATATCTTCCGGCACCTGACATATCAAAAGCCGTAAAAGAAACTCCTTGATCTATAATATTCAAATAAAAATAAACAAAATTATTTAAATGTACAAAGGATACTTTTTAATTATATATTTTATTCTCAATTAAATTCGATTCTGCTTATATTGAAAACATATTATTTAACTTTTAACATTATTCAACGCATATAAATTTAAAAAAAAAATAAACAAAATTATTTAAATGTACAAAGGATACTTTTTAATTATATATTTTATTCTCAATTAAATTCGATTCTGCTTATATTGAAAACATATTATTTAACTTTTAACATTATTCAACGCATATAAATTTGTGTACCTATTTACTTTAGTTAGAAATTAAGTCTTAAATGGTACAATTTTTAATAGAATGTATGAAGTACATCTGCACGTAATGTATTTTGTACAGGATTATGTTTATTTACATATAAGTATGTATTCATTGCATCAATGTATGCAGGCCCTGATCTGATTTGTTGAGAAATGAATGTACGTTGAATGTACGTTTACTTACGTGTTAAAATAACAGATTTTTTATTTTATCAAACATATGGTGCTAAATTTTTTGTAATCAATGTTTCTTTTTTCTTTGTTTGTCCCTTCTTTCATAATATTTTGAACCACATGTGGTACCTTCTTGTATTTAACATACGATTATAAAACTTGATGCTCTTTGAATAATAAATATATCTCAATCTTTTAAAACTTTCAGTTGCTTGGTTCCATATGAAATTAATTTCTTCAACGCTTAAAGCAAAAACAATATGTATATTAATTAAGTTGGGTCAAACCAATGGTTTGTATTGTAGCACTTTTCCCTTCAACAAGTGAAAATTATGCTTTTAAATACAGTCTATGTATACCTATCACACTATTAAAATTATTTTCAGTCATATACAAAACTCTTTCTGGGATTGCATATATTTAGGATGAACGATTTATGCAGTATTTCAAATAAAACAAAAATTAATATAAAGAGGGGTTAACATAATGCTCGATTTTAAGGTTTAATTGTGTAAGTTAAGAAAAATAATTATATTTTTTAATGTCATGGAATTTACCGTTAGCTTTTTGCGTTTATAGAAATTTGAAAAAGCTTGCGGTTTCGGAAATATAAGGTGCCAAAAATTCAAATTTTACAAATTTCAAGAGGCGATAACTTGAGAGGGGGTGGAGATGGAAAAAAATTTTCTTCTAACGAAATGAACTATTTGTTAATGTCTAAAAGCCCCTTTTTTTGAATTTCAAGCTTCTATATGCTGGGGTTTAAAAGAAAAACGACATCAAAAATTTGGAAAAAAAAGACTTTAGATAACGGTAAATTTGAACGGCCATTTTGTATTTCTTAAGTCTAACTATAGTATACCACGTTAAGGGAAGCAAACCGCTGCCTTTCTGCGTTCTCAGAATTTCAAAAATGCTTATGGTTTCATTGCAACAAATATTTAAAAATGGGCATTTTTATGGTTTTGGGGGGTATAACTTCTAGAGGGGGGGACATAGGTAAAAATTTTGTTCTCCAGAAATTAGTTTCTAGTAAAGACCTATGTACGTATTAAATTTCAGCTTTCTATCTTCAAGGGTGTAGAAGTTTTGTAAACAAAAAAAGTATCCACGGACGGACGGACAGAGTGAAATTAATAAGCCGTTTTTTTAAAAAAAATTTTGGAAAAGTGCTAAAAATGAAAGAAGCATTTTCGCAACCATATTTAAGCATGTATGAAAAAGAAAGCTAAAAAAAAGAGAATTTTAAAAGATCTATTAGTTCATCAAAGAATTTCAAATGAAATTCTTTATAGATTAAAGCAAATGAGATGATTTGGTTTTTGGTTCATTTAGTCAATCACATTATTGATTTTGCTTTTTCTTTTTATTTTAAAAGTGCATTTTGTTTTCTTTGAATAGCAAAACATTTTGGTGTTTTTAAGTCATTAAAAGATTACTCTTATAGTACTCAATCCTTTTATTAATTTCCATATGTAAGATTATTTTTAAAGTATATACCAAGGATAAATAATTTTTTGTATATACTTATATGACTTAAAGTATTATAGACTTACAGGAATTTCAAAATTTTGTGATCTCATTGCTGTATACAGCTTTTAAAGAGTGATGAATACATTTCAAACAGTTCCAGTAATTGTTGTTAGTATGAAATGTGTATGCTATACATAATAACATACACCACATGAATCATGTATATTTGTATAGTTTTATACATATTTACATATAATATGTATGTATGGATGTGAATATTAGAGAATAATAGTTAGTATAAGGTTGAATGAATCTGATTGGAAAATTTTTAAAATTTTTAAGTACAAACGTAAAACGTTTAAGGTTACATTGTGGAAGTTAGTTGTACTCGCATATGTTCGTGTTTGTATATAGTAAAATTAATGTCCATATCACTTCGATTCTAAGTAACATGAGTTTTTGATACAATATCTTTTTAATTTTAGCATACATACATGTAATATTATAAGATTCTTTTACGGGATATATTTATTTTTCATTGTAATTAATTTTAAAGGTTTAAGCTAAAAAGTTTCTGAGTATATAATAATTAATTTTATTAAAATAGCAATTGTTTTCAAACTTTAAATCTGTTGAATGTTTTCTTAATCAATTTTCAATTAAATAATTTTAAGAATTATTGAGAAAATTTAGTTATTAAAATTGAAAGTAAATTTTTGTAAGTGTGGCTAATTTTAATAGGCTTAATTGAAAATTTTTCACAGAATACTTTTTTCTCTCTTCTAACAAATAAAAATCAAAGTACCTATACATGTCCAACAATTTGAGAAATAAAAATATCATATTAAATATTTTGCATATATTGAGGAGAAGCAACTTAAAATATTCTATTATTTTACGGGTTTTTTCGCCTTACATAAAATGGCGAACACTGTAATTAAATGCTTTCTATCTTTTTCAATGAGCAAATAACTTTAGATACGAGAAAAAATATAGAGGCTGACAAAATTATACTTTAAAGGATATTGTAAATATTTGCATTGAAAATTAGAATTAGAAATAGAAGAGCCTTAATATGTAAGTAGGTCTATGTAAGTGATATAAATTAATGAAAGAGAGATATTAAAGAAAATCTTGAAGATTATTTCACTTTTTATAATTTTATGATTTTATTATCAATAATTCACATCAAATATATAAAATAAGTATCATAATATTTTAAGTTGTTATTAAAAATTTATTAATGTCAATTAAATTCAATTTTATTAGAATAAAGTGATGCTCTAGAATTTTTTAGGCATTTTTTATTTTAAAATACAGCATTGTTAAAGAAATATAATATAAAATTAACAAAATAATAAAAATATTTGTCGAAGTGGAGCGACAAATATTTTTATGTCTTGAATTTAAAATTCCAAGAGATGACCACAGTGGCACTTGTCGGCAATATCGCGAAACTTGTCTAAGCCATATTCTACTTGCCGTTCTGATATGACCTATGGCGTAGTGTAACGACGTTTTTTGTTGAACAGTATTTAGCAAGTAACAAACAAAATGTATACCCCCAAAAACATGAGTTTAAAAGTACTAAATTTTATAATGTACGAGTAATACATAAATTCATTCATATATAAGTACAGACCGGAAATTTTATGACAGAAAACACCTGTATAGTTAAAGGTCTTAAATTCACAGAAAATAGATACATACATACGTAAGTCAGTGCGAATTTGAAGCCAAGAGGTGCCCCTAATGTTAAATAATGTGGTCCTTAACTTTGTGGAATTTGTGAAAATAAAGAAAAGGGTTATACTTAACTATAAGTAAATAGAAGCTTTTCCATTGTGTCTTTATTCAGTGAAAAGTCAAGTCTGTGTTTGTGTTTGTTGCATAAAAGCAGCATTCTGCTGACAGGTTCATGTTTCCCATAATTGGACCTATGAAAAGAAATCATGGAAAGATCAAGTCGGGTTAGATTAAAATGTCGGGTTAGATTAAGTCTTTTCATAAGCTGAAAAATGAATAACAAATCCGCAACGTCATGTCTATTGCCCAGTGTTTGTAGCTCAATTAATTTGAGCCTGTGTTCGTAAGGTGGAAGAATGATGGGGCCTTCAAGGAAGAAGGCGCAGTGCGAACCTCAAAAAATTTTTTTGAATAGACTAAATCCTATTAATATGTATATCGTAATAGGGTGACTATACTTGTGAAGCATATTCAAGATGAGGACGGACCAGGCATGTGTAAACCGATTTCAAGACATAAGGATCATTAAACTCCTTTGAACAGCGTTTAATAAAACCTAACATCGAGCTTGATCTACATATGATATGATTGTAGTGGTTTGTGAAGGACAACTTGCTATCGAAGCAAACACCCAGCTCCATAATTGAATCAACTCGAATAAGAGCTTGATCATTCAAAAAATAGTTTGTAAAAAGTGGCCGTTTTTACTTAGAGTAGCACATTTATGCACATTTACTTACATTGATTTTTAGGTTATTACTTGAACACCACCCGTAGAAGTGGTTAAGATCATTCTGAAGATCATCAGAATGATCTTAACCTGAAGAACATCATTTGCAGAGCTTATTTTTTTGAAAATTTTCATGTCATCAGCATATATGAATACCTCACTGTGCGTTAGCATGGAAACAACATCATTAATTGAAATTATAAACAGCAGTGGCCCTAAGTGACTACCCTGGGGTACACGAGAATTAGACGAAAGTGCCGAAAAAATTGCTGAACGAAAGAGGTTTCTGTAAGTCCTACCAGAGAGATATGACTTTACCCAGGATAAGAAGTTGTCAGGGAATCTTAAGAGTTTCAATTTTAAAATAATAATTCCATGTGGCAGTATGTCAAAGGCTTTGCTAAAGTATGTGTAAATTACATCCGTCTGATACTCATTTTCCATATTATTTGAGGAAACTGTCGTGGCTTCCACTGGAACCCCCATTCATACAATGGACATAAATGTTAAATTTGATTAATACGTTGCGTAGAACGAAATACAAAGGAAGATTTTTTTATTTAAAAATATAAATATAAACTTTTTTTTTTGTTAGAACAAATATTATATAAGTGACGCGACAAGCAAAATAAGGCTCATTACTTTTGATATTTTTTAAAAAAAATTATATACTCTCGAATATTCTACACATTTTATTACATAATATATAATCTTAAGTAGCGTTTAATATAAGTATGTATATTAGTATTATTAAAAATATTTAATCACTTAAAAAAAGCAGAACTTACTCTGAAATTTTTCAACACTAAATCCAACTGTTGGTATTGTTATAGCTGATTTTTCATCTGGACTTTTAAAATGATTTATTATTGTTGATTTTCCACTATTATTCAATCCAACAATTAATATAGTAACTTGTTCTTTTTTTAATTTTAATATTCCAGCTAATTTATCAAATATTCCCATTATGGCAGAAAACGTATTATAACATTTACTAATGCAATTCTTTTATTACAATTTCGTGGAATTTTAGGTTTAAAAATAGATTGTTGTACTCGTAATTGTGATATAATTGTGATACTGTCCTTATTATTCTTTTGAATTTTTTTATTTAAATTTAAATAGATATTCCAAAAATAAAATTTATGAAAACAAATATAAACTAGATTGTTATAAGAATATCTTTTGAAGGTGAATAAGTTGCAATAAGCAAAATATTTTAACAAAAAATAAAAAACTCTTGTTAATGAGAATATCCTATTCAATGACACAAAATTTTTTTAAATGGGCACAGACTTGTTATAATAGGCTTTTGGTAAATGTACTCGTATTATTATACCTTATTATTAAAATAAAGAATTAATTAATTTAATTGCAATTTATAATAATTATTATAATAATTTGAAGTTAAAAATGTTAACAACAAAGTTATTGACCATTTAAAAAAGGAAATAAAACACAAAGTCTTGGGAATTACTTTTTTTTATGCTGAATTGCGCTTATAACCATTGAATTTCAAATATTTAATTTATTAATAAAGCACATTATTACTATATAATAAACACTTGTTACATTTTATAGCTATTAAAACTAAATATATCGAAATACGTTGTAATGCAACAAGTTTAGAGACCTTTGTTATTTATTAAATAAAATGAATAATTAAAAAATTCTGTTTTATAAAAATAAAATTCTATTATTCTTGGCTGCATAAATTTATAAACAAAAAATAAAAAAACCCAAATTACAAATAAATACTTAAAAGAATAATATTATTTTCTTTGTTTATGAATTTATTCAAGGACAATCTCCCTCAGAATATTTTACATAATATCAAAAAAAAAAAGTGTTTAATCAATATAAAATTATATAGACAATATTGTTTTTATTGAATCAAAAATTTGAATATGCAAATAAAAAATACAATGAATAAAATTTCCAATTTAATTTTATATAAAAATTGATTTTTCTGTTATAAATTACTAATTTCAATATTTATTTGATTTTTCATATATGTATTATATTATATATATTGAATAAATATTTAGAAATTATTAACACGAATATAATTATTAAAATACTTTAGAGATTTTTCATATATAATATATCTTTAAAATTCAATAGTTATTTTGATTTATAAATTTAAATCTCGAAACTTAGGTCTTTTTAGCCACTTTATTTATAAAATTCCACATAATTCAATTCAATATGCTTAAAAATATTAAATAGAAAGTAAATAAAAGCGAATCATAATGGTGTTAATCTTCTTATTTCAAATTAACTTAGTAGACTGAATTGGATATCATATTATAGTAAAATATATTTATTAACATAAATATTTATTATTAATGTTTTGAAAATCGATTTTCTTAAATAATCGATTAACTTGAATGCTCAACATTTTTGTGGTAACAATATTTAAATGTATGTTGTCTATTGGCATTTTAAAAATTAATGTTTATTTCAATTATAGAAGTAACATTAAAGCTATGATTAAACAAAATCAAGATAAAATGTAGTCAGTAACACATAAAAATATGTCAACTTCAAAATTATGTCAAATTTTGTATAGTGAAAAAACAAAGAACTTAAATCTTCCGTCGAGTCGTAAAATTTTGATAGGCATCTGATTCAAAATAAGAAAATAAAACAAATATGAAGTGCTGCTTTGCATTTTGATTGTGTTTGAAGCACAAAATTTAAACATTAAGATTAGTTCACAAAACACCGTTGTCAAATAATTTTTTTAGCTGCATTTAATTATTTTGTAATAAAATAAATAATAAAAAAATTAAATTTGTATTCAAAATTATCTTTAGAAATACACTTAATATTATATTTTAATATCATTAATTATTTAGACTTTTCCTGTGAGGCTTTTAAATTTGACACTTGAATATCAAATTATAAAAACATAAAGGTTATATTATAATTTAATTTGGTACGAAAAGAACTAAAACATGAAATTAGACCCTTTTACTTTTTTGAAAATGAATTTAAGATATATACGTTAATAAATTTACCAAAAAGGTAGAGCTAACGTCGATGCCATTTATTCAGACATTAAAATTTTGTTACTTAATAACTGAATAACTAACTTTTTAAAAGTCGTTTATAGTAAGAACATAAAAGAAATTTCAATTTGACTTTATGAAACCAAATTAGATGTAGTTAAAACGCAGCATTTGAGTATTCAAGTTTTCCTCTTATTCCGTTTTTTTGGAGTTAATAAACGAAAAAAACCAAAGAAATAACAAAGTCGATTATAAATTTTTTTTCAATCGATTTAAAAGGATACAAAACAAAGGTAGCGCCACTTACGAAAATATTTTTGTTATGGTTTAGTACTATAGTGTTGTTATGGTAATTTTAGTCGAAAAAAATTTCTTTGTAAATTTATATAGCTTAGCTACATAAGCATATATTGTAGGAAGAATAAAATAAAATTAATATTTCCGACTTTCAGAAATGTTAATAATGTTTAAGCCATATCAAATGATATTTAAATATTAAAATAAATATTATAAAATATATGCATCTGCATTTTACATAAGTGAAAATTTTAGAATTAAATATAAACATTAATATTAGAATATAAACATTACAATTTACTAGTAAAATAAAATTATTGAAATAATTTTGTGAATTTAAATATTATTTGTATATCTATTATTTGTATATGTTTGAAATTCAGCACAAATAATGAAATATTGTTTCATTAAAATACAAAAATATTCAATAATTAAAATCCATTTTTTGATATTAATACCACAAATGGATTTTAACAAAATGGATTTATAAAACTCTAAATTTTTCATATATGATTCTACTAAAACAAAATATTTTTCTTCTATTTTGTTACAATTATTAGAAAAATGTAAAATAACAAAATTTTATAGCAATATCTTTTTTCTTTTTAAGGATACGAGTATCTTTTTTTGGAAATTAAAATTTTTTGAATATGATCTCTAGTTGAAATTAGAATTAATTATTTTTGAATAATTACATTAATACAAACAGAATAAAATATTGTAGGAAATTAGAAATAAATGAAATGTATCAAAAAATGTAATTATGTACATATATAGCTTAAAAATTTAATTTATGGGAAGAAGAAAATCCATTAATGAAAAATTAAAAAAAAAATATTCAATTCAATGTTTTTAATTTTTACAATTTTTGTTGATTTTGTTAACATTTTTGTTTTTTATTTCAGATTTTTAAAATTGAATTCCTCTTTAACAATTACGATCTTTAATCTTTTCGAGCTGGGTAAGTAATTTTATATTGTTATACATATTTAATGATTTGAACATAATTCAATTAATTTTCGTTTGCATTATTTTAGTGTTTATTAATTTAATTTTGATTGGATGACACAAAAATAACAAGAAAGAATACGTAAGGGATTAATGGCGATGTAAAAGAAAAGAGGAAAATGCTAGTAAATGTTTTTTAATATGGTATTATTTTAATTAACCCGGCTGATTCTGCCACGAAATATCTGCAGTAAGGTATGCTTGTGGTAAATCCAGACGCGACGGACTCGCAATGACCGGCTCCCTCGAGAGAAGATAACTCTTAGAAAAAGTCCAATAAGTCTGCAGAAGACAAAAAAATGAAAACCCAAGAGGGTAATATGAGAAGGTATCTTATACAGGAGAGTATATTGGATACTCAGAACTGCCAAATTACAGGCAGAAAATGTAGATTTAAAAAATCAAATAAAATCTGCATCGACAAAAAAGAAGAACAAAGATGTGGAGTTATTGTATATGAAACCGTCGAGGAAAAACTGGCTAGAGGAACTGACTGGATCCTAAAATAGAATAATGCAAAGAAGCGAAAAATGGAATAATATCCTGAAATAAATTCAGAGAAGACAGTTAAAAAAAATAATAAAACCAGCCCTAAAATGAAGGCTGGAAATCCAAAGAGGGACAAGCCTCCTTCGGTTATATTGAGAAACATTAAAAACTACTCCCACATACTTAATATATTAAAAGAAATAAGAATAAACGTTAGGGTCAATATGATGAATAATGACCAATTAAAAATAAATGTGGAGAATGAAAATGAATTCAGATTGCTAACAAAAGTTATAAATAAGGCTAGATTGAAGTGGCACACATATGAGAATAAACTGACAAGGCCAGTTAACGTTGTGGATAGAAATCTCCGTCCATCGTGTGCGCCCGAGGATGTAAAAAATGAGCTCATTAGCAAAGGCTCTAAATGTTGTAATAGAAAAGGCTCTAAATGTTACAACATCTAGCAAAGGCAAAACAGATGAAGCAAATGGCAGTTGAAGCAAAAAGATGAAAGCAAATGGCAGTTGGGTGAGGAGCATTAAGTAAGCATATTCACACCAAACGGAATAACATCAGATGTGTGTTTAGTAGAATCTGAAGTTGAAAAAATCGCCAGGTTTCGATCTTATTACTGCGGAAGTACTAACAGAGTTACCAAACGAGGTATTAGAACATTTGATTTATAGATTTTGAGTATGTTCCTTGTGGAAAGTCGTATAAGTAATTGTAGTGCCCAATTCACTGTTACTAATGGTATCTAAGCTTTTAGAAAAGCAGCTATAAGGGAATTGAAGCCGATAATATAAAATAGGGGCCTAATACCAAACCATCAATTTGGATTTAGAAGAAACCGTTCTACAATAGACCAGGTCCATAGAATAACGAATATTATAGGAAAAAGCTCAGAAAATAAAGAAATCTGCTCTTCTATATTTTGAGACGTAACACAGGCATTCGACAAGGTATGGCACAAAGCCCTTATATTTAAGTTAGGACAAATGACACCATCGCCATTTGTGGCAATTTTGGAATCTTACTTAGCTAATAGATTACTTAGAAAAGTTATTAAACAAGAAGCTGAATACTCCACGCTAAGAGAAATAAGAGCAGATTCGCCTCAAGGCAGTATTCCGGGGTCAACGTTGTACTTGCTTT